CAGGGCAGATCGAGGAAGGATCAGAGCGTTCCCTCCCTCGCGTGTCTCGGGCCCCATCCCGCTGTGCTCTCCCTGCACTCTCCCTGCGCCCCTCGCCCATCCACCTTCGGAACTCACCTCGCGACGCAGCCAGGAAAAACGCGAGGAGCAGGGGTCCCCAGCGCCGGCCTCCAGACTCCAGGACGGAGGTCGGGACATTCATGTCGCCGTCGGGTGAGGCGGAGGGGACACAGGGCACGAGGGACCCCGGAGCAAGGAGCCGGCTGGACTCGGCCACCGGGAGCGAGTGCAGAGCGAGCGCGGCAGCGCCGTGGGCGGGCCACTCCAGGGGCTCCGCAGCGCCCCCGGGGGGCTGGGGGCGGTACTGCAACTCCAGGGCGCTCGCAGGCGGGGCTCCGTGCAAACCAGGGAGCCTGCCAGGGTCCTCACAGACAGCTGCCCTCGAGGGCTGGTGTAAAGCCATCTCCACTTTTTTGGAGGTTGCTATGGTTGCATGACCCAAGGAGTCCTGTCTATGTCTAACTTAGCCTGGTGCATGGTTATAGTGGCTTGTGTCAGCCCCCACCCACCTGCCCTGGAGTAGTCTGGTGAATGAGAATTTGTACCCTATATCTTGCAGCCCTCCATGGCTTAGCTCCAGCTGTGTAATGAACAAATGCCAGAATCCAGTAATGAAATCCAAGAGTGGTAATGAGCTAAACAAGTGCACACATGCACATGCATGTACGTGCACACGTGCGCGCGCACACACACACACACACAACACACACAGCAGGCTGGACACATCCCCACACCAGGACATACACAGCTTTGCCCACTCTGCCTCCCTGGTGTCTGGATATCTGCAAACTCACTTTTCTTCTCCTCCTCCTCCCCCTTGTCCCTCCTCTTCCCTCTCCTCCTCCTTCTCCTCCTTCCCTCTTGTGGGATGGGAGGAGTGGTGGTGCTAGTGATGGGACACAGAAGCATCTTAAGCAAGCCCTCTGCCACTGAGATACAGCCCTGCCCTTCCACCCACCCACTTCTAAGGCCTTTCTGCCCAGCCACGACGGCACCACGGGGACTATCTCCTCTCTGCTCTCATCTAAATTCTTGTCATTCCTCAGGGCTCCACCCAGTCCTTCCCTTACAGCATGTCTGGCCTCCCTAGCGGCCCCTCCAGTCTTTTCTATCACACTCCTTTTGGCTATCCTACCGGGCCTGTGGTATAAACAATTGGTTCATTGCCTGAGGGGTCTTCTGCCCTTCCAGGCTTGTTTTGGGGGAGAGTGGCCTCCTCCTTCTGTGATTCAGAGTCTCTGATACAGACCAAGTGTGGTCATTCATCTGTGTGACAAGTCAGAGAGGGAGAGAGCCTGGGCTCCTGAATGGAGCACTGGCAGTGACCAGAGTAGGGACTTGGGTGGAAGGAGAGGGAGACATTGCTACTGTGCCTGTTGTCCTCCAGCCCAGCTGACGCTGCCAGGGGGTGTTGTAGCCCCTCAGGGATCTACAGGTGACTTTCAGCTGAAGAACAGTGGGCAGAGTCCAACAGTGGCATAGCATGTGATCTAACTAGGGAAGGGTCCAAGTCAGGCAGACACAAGCCCACCCCAGCCATCCTCCACAGAAGTGAAATGGGTTCACTCCAGCCTGAGACTCTAAATACCTCCCCCATCTCTTCTACTTCCTTCCCCCTGCTGCGCTGCCCAACACTGAGCTCCCTGAGGTTGCATCAGGGTGAGACATAAGCATTGCCCAAGCTGTGGTCCTAAAGTAACAACCTCAGGGCCTCTTTCTCCAACTTAGGGTAAAGCAGGAAGAGATTAGGGCAGGAAAAAGGTCATTAAGCCTGACTTCCTCTTGGGTCAGAGACCAGATCCGAGGAGGTCAGATCACTGTCCCCACCCATGCCCAGGCCTGGTCACATGGCAAGAAGGATGCAAGGGGCAAGTCTGTTGGAATCCCTCCTCTAAGCCCTGGCAGCTTGCAGATTTTTTTTTTTTTTCAGTGCCAGTCCTGGGACTTGAACTCAAGGCCTGGGACTGTCCCTGAGCTTCTTTTGCTCAAAGTTAGCACTGTGCCACTTGAGCCACAGCACCACTTCCAGCTTTTTCTGTTTATGTGGTTCTAAGGAATAGAATCCAGGGCTTCATGCATGCTAGGCAAACACTCTACCACTAAGCCATCTTCCCAGCCCTTGCATGATGTTTAAGCTCACTTTGAGTCTTTGTTATTTGAGACAGTAGGCCTAGAGGAAGCCTGCAGATGGCACTCCTGTGCTCCCTCAGGTGTCTTGGGGCACAGCAGGATTCAATCTGGGCTCTTCCCAGGTGCTCACAGCTGCAGCCAGAACTATGCAGAAGATGGAACACAAGCCCATTATGGGAAACAATGGGAAGTCAGTCAACTAACAGACCACAGGACACATTTCTAGGATATTTCATCCTTGAGATGAAAGTTCAGACTGAGCTAGGCACCAGAAACTCTCACCTTATAATCCTAGCTACTCAGGAGGTTGAGATCTGAGGATCACCCTTCAAAGTTAGGCAGAGTAATAAAGTCTTATCTCCACTTAACCACACAAAGCTGGAAGTGGAGCTGTGGCTCAAGTGGTAGAGAGCCAGCCTTGAGCAATAAAGCTAAGGGACAGTGCCCAGGCCCTGAATTCAAGCTCCATGACCAAACTCCATGTTCAAACAGATCCTCAGACTTAGCACTATTTACCTCTCTACTCTGGGTGAGAAAGTCAGAGAAATGATGAAATAACTCGTTTTCTCTCCTGGTATGCTTGCTATTTTGAGATTTTTAGAAATTCTAAGGTCCAAAGGATTGTCTTCACAATGGTAAGATTCAATACAGACAACAGATCAGAACTCCAGAATGTGTAAATTAAAAGAAACTTTAGAAGTCAAAGAAGATCCTTTGTTAGCAGACAGAAATAGTCCAAAGAGGGGATATAACACGTATAAAGCTACACACCTCCATTTTAAAGCTGCCAGTCTTGCCAACTTTGGAAACAGCCACCCAACACTGGGTCCTGAAGACCAAAGCAGAGCTACATGTAGATTCCAGGAATCATCACCCACTCAGGGGCAGTGACAGACTTCCTGCTGCCCATATGTCCATCCCTCCCTAGATGGTCCCAGAAGTAGAGACAGGATTCTGCCTTATGCACACATGATTTCCATCTCTGCCCTTAGCAATGACCTCTAAAGTCCTACAGCATATATAACCTAGTTCACTAATAATGGTGATGCATTGGTTACTTTTGCATAGCTGTAACCAAAATACCTCAGAGAACAACTGAATGGAGGAAAGATTTATTTTGGCTCATGGTCTGTCCAGGATCACTTGGTTCCAGGCACTTGAACAGAAAACTACATGGTAGTAGGGGAGAGGGGCTCCTCACTTCATTGTGAACAGGAGGAGAAAGGAAGTGTCCAGAGACCAACATGCACCCACAGTGACCACTTCCTCCAGCTAAACACCCCTCCCAAAGTTTCCACCACCTGCCTGTGGTGGACCCAGCTGTGGACCCAGCTTCCATCATCAACCTGTGGGGGACAGTCCATGTTCAACCATAGCAAGTAGTCTGCACCCCAGGCAGGAAAAGTCAGTACACTCATTAATGACTTGACTGTTCAGAGAGGGTTAGTTGAGCACCCAGAGATGAGTAACCACAGTAACAGCCAGGTGCCAGTGGTACATGCTTGTAATCCTAGCTATTCAAGAAGCTGGGTCTTAGGATGACAGTTCAAAAATCAGCTTGGGCAGAAAAGTCCCTAAGGGGCTGGGAAGGTGGCTCAGCGGTAGAGTGCTTGCCTTGCATGCATGAGGCCCTTATCACCACATAAGCAGAAAAAGCTGGAAGTGATGCTGTGGCTCAAATGGTAGGGCGCTGGCCTTGAGCTGAAGAGCTGAGGGACAGCGCCCAGGCCCAGAGTTCAGGTCCCATGACCAGCAAAAAAAGAAAGAAAGAAAAGTCCCTGAGACTCATATCCAACTAACCACTGAAAAGCTAGAAGTGGAGCTATGGTTCAAATGGTAGAGTGCTAGCCTTGACCAAAAAGCTAAGAGAGTGCCCAGGCACTGAGTTCAGCAAAATAAATACATAAACAAACAAACAAATAAATAAATAAATAGTCATATTATTACTATCACATGTCCAATGGGAAAGAAGAGGAGGTGATGTGACTAGAGTCCAGGGAGAGCTATAGAAAGTGGTAGGAAAAGTGCAGCCCCAGCTGAACTGCAATGAGAATCAGAGACAAGTGTCCACTCCTCCCCTCTTCCCACTCTGAACTTTGTCATTTCCTCCCATTCTCCAGCCTTTCCTGAAGCAGAAAGCAAGGGAGCCCATGCAAGGTGATCTGTTAGGGAAGGTGTAGAAGAAGATAGAGCAAGGGACCAGGAAAGCCAGCATGTGGCCAACTCAGCTTACATAACGCCATATCATCCTTCTCTCGTTGGTTCTTAAGTGTTGACTGCTGAGTTTTAATTGGATGAATGTTACTTGCCATTCACATTGCCCAAGCATCTCTAGAGATGGCCAACTATAGGACTAAAAAATTTCTTATAACGAAGGTCATTTTCAGTGGGCTTTGTTTTTCACGGCTCAACAAACTGTCCATGAAATTGCTCAAACTCAATGTCCTCCCTCTTTAAAAGGCTGGAAATATTCTATTTTAATTTACATAAACAATGGGTGAAGTTTAAATGCTGTGTCAGACTGAGTGCCTTATATTCTTGCATCTTGCAGTCTGGGAGGAGACCCAAAATTTAGTAAGCACTGGGTTGAGGTGACCACAGTGGTAGTACAAGCAGTTGCCTACATTGGTTTTGATGAAGTCTCTGTGCTTTCTTCCCCTGAGAGCCTGTGACTTTCTACCATCCCGTGAGTTCTCCTTTTGCCACCCTCTGTTAGATAATACTGAGTGAATTCAGCCCAGGAGAACAGCCATCTGGGTCCCCCTTCCTCTAGCCCTTGACCAAGATATTGACCATGCATTTCTCTACAGGCAACCACTCATGTGTACGTGACCATCGTGGATGAGAATGACAACGCTCCTGTGTTCCAGCAGCCTCATTATGAGGTGGTGCTAGATGAGGGCCCCGCTACAGTCAACGCCAGTCTTGTCACCATCCAGGCTTTGGACTTGGATGAAGGGCCCAATGGCACCATCAGCTATGCCATTGTCGCGGGCAATATCATCAACACCTTCCAGATCGACAGGCACACGGTCAGCAGCTGGCAGGAGGGTCCAAATGGAGGGTGAAGCTTCTCTGAGGGGTTGGTGAGAAGCAAAGATGGAGCCTGGGAGGAACCTGAGAGGTGAAGAGCTTATATGGATAGGGCCTCCTCTGCAAGCTGCCTCACAGGCAAACCAGAGTACCCCAGACCTCTCACCCCTCAACACCCTCCTACCTTCCCTCATCCTCGGTGTCCTCCTTCCCCCCCAGGGTGTCATCAGGGCTGTCAAGGAGCTAGACTATGAGATCAGCCATGGCCACTACACCCTGATCGTCACTGCCACCGACCAGTGCCCCATCTTGTCCTACCGCCTCACCTCTACCACCACGGTAGGTGGGACTCAGCCTCCATGTGGAAGGCCCAGAAGGTTCCAGTGGGAGAGGGGAGGGGAATGATTAATGCAAAACTTCTCTGCTCTCAGCAGCTTACCCAGAGTGGCTGTGTGGCTTTGAGGGGATAACTGAACCTTTTGTTTAGATGTATCTGTCAGACAGGTGAAAACACCTGTCTTCCTCCTCTCCATGGGAAAAGCATGAACTACCAACATGGAGCAGATCCCTGCTCTTTCACTTCCTTTCTGTGTGACCCTAGGCAAGTCACCTAATTGCCCAGAGCTTCAGTTTTCTTATATGTGTACAAAAGAGAGATTAAAAACATGTTTCACAATCTGGAAGGAACAAATGAGGCCATGTAAAATGTCCATAGTATAGTGTGAGTATTATTAATCTTATGCCCACAGAAGATTTAAGCAATAACTCTTCCACATGCACTTTTTGTTGGTCGTGGTGCTTGAACTCAGGGCCTCTGAGTACTGTCCCTGAGCTTTTTTGCTCAAGGCTAGCACTCTATCACTTTAAACCATAGCTCTACTTCCAGTTTTCTGATGGTTAATTGAAGATAAGAGTCTCATGGACTTTCCTGCCCCAGCTGGCTTTGAACTATGATCCTCAGATCTCAGCCTTCTGAGCTAGGATTACAGGCATGAGCCATCAGCACCTGGCCCACATGTACTCTTAAAATGCCCTCCTGACCTGGCACCAGTAATTTATACCTATAATCCTAGCTATGCAGGAAGTTTAATTCTGAGGATTGAGTTAACCCAGGCAAGAAAGTCCTCAAGACTCTCTAGTTGACCAGCAAAAACAGATTGGAGGCCTGGCTCAAGTGGTAGAATGCCAGCTGCTAATTAAAAATCTCAGAGTTTGGGGGCTGGGAAGGTGGCTCAGAGGTAGAGTGCTTGCCTTGCATGCATGAGGCCCTGGGTTCGATTCCTCAGCACCACATAAGCAAAAAGAAAAAAGCTGGAGGTGGTGCTGTGGCTCAAGTGGTAGAGCACTAGCCTTGAGCTGAAGAGCTGAGGGACAGCGCCCAGGCCCAGAGTTCAGGCCCTACGACCAGACCCCCCCCCCCCAAAAAAAAAAATCTCAGAGTTTAAGGCCCTGAATTCAAGCCCCAGTACTGTTATGCATGTGCATGCACATATTCAGGAGCATGCACATGCATGCGCACACACACACACACACACACACACACACACACACACACACATGTACACAATGTCCTCCTGGCTGGGTAGAAGTGACTCACAACTGTAATTCTAGCTACTCAGGAAGCTGAAAGTTGAGGCTAGAGGATCAAAGCCAGCCTCAGCAGAAAAGTCTTAGAATACTCTTAGCTCCAATTAACCAGCAAAAAGCTGGAAGTGGAGGTGTGGCTCAATTGGTTGCATGCCAGCCTTGAGTGAAAAAGCCAAGTGAGAGAATGATAACTCCTTTGTACAACTTAAAGATAATTGTTAAGAAAAAAAGCCAAATGATAGAGGCCCTGAGTTAAAGCCTAGTACTGGCGCACACACACACACACACACACACACACACACACACACACACACAGACATGTTCTCCTATGACTGTGACCCCCATCCAGCTTTTTGTTGCTGGTGGTGGTAGTGGTCATGGGGCTTGAACCCTGGTCCTGGATGCTGTCCCTGAGCTCTTCAGCTCAAAGTGAGTGCTCTAGCCACAATGCCACTTCCAGTATTTTTGGTGGCTAATTGGAGATAAGAGTCTCACGGGCTTTCCTGCCTGGGCTGGCTTTGAACCTCAATCCTCAGATCTCAGCCTCCTGATTACCTAAGATTACAGGCTTGAGCCACCAGCACCTGGCTCCCATTCAGTTCTTACATGAGCCCTAGGAGATAATATTATCAGGTCCAGTGACTGGGCCCAGCCCAGGGAGGCCCCTGCTAAGCCTGTCCATCATCTCAGGTACTTGTGAATGTGAATGACATCAATGACAATGTGCCCACCTTCCCCCGGGACTACGAAGGGCCATTTGACGTCACCGAGGGCCAGCCAGGGCCCAGGGTGTGGACCTTCCTGGCCCATGACCAGGATTCAGGCCCCAATGGGCAGGTGGAATACAGCATAGTGGACGGCGACCCTCTGGGTGAGTGTGGTCTGTTTTGGGGAGGTGGGGAGGGCTGACAGGCAGGGACAGCCCATGGAAGGGCCTTTTTCCACCCCACTCAGAAGCAGGGAAGTGGGTCTCCAGGTAGTGAGTCCTGTGGGTTTTCTTATCTATTCCTCTCTGTGCCTCAGGCTCCCTGTCCATATGGTGCTATTGGGCAGAACACCTCTTTTTTCAAAGGAAATAGGGAGCACACTGTAAGGTGTGGAGCTGAGGCTGTTGGTCTTAGAGAGTTACAGAGCCTATGAGAAAAGGCCCAGGGCTGAGGAAATAACACATCCTCAGCACCCCATGTGCGGGGTGCATCTCTGCATCATCCACTATCAGCCTTCACCAGTGTCACAGCCGCTCTCATTAGTCAGAGGTCAGAATGTGTATGCCTGGACTGGAGAGCGCTTTTCCAGGTCACTGTAACTCTTCCCCATGGAGTGGATATCCTGAAAGCCTGGAGAATCAGGGACAAGCAGGAGGCATTGGGATGACAACAGGGAGTAATGGGGATTGTGAGAGCCACTCACATCATGCAGATAAAAAAACAAAGCAAATCTTTTGGGACCATCCTGATATTTAATTGATCCTTCAACAGCTACTTGTACTAGCCAGGTCTGGGGGACATGGAACAAACACCCATCCCACCATATAGAATGTCAGTGAACTAACTGATTACATAGGTAGTTTTGTATTTGGAGAGGTACTGGGTGCTGTGGAGACCAGTAAAAATCAAACAGGAGTGGAGGGTGCCGAGTGCCAGAGTGATTAGGGATTTTAGATAAGGTGTCCTGAGAAGACCTGTCTAATGAGGTAGTATGTGAGCAAAGATCTGAGTAAGGTAAGAAATGGGTCAAATGGACTTGTGGGGAAGAGCATCCCAGACAGAGGCAACCGCAAGTGCAAAGGTGTGTGTCTATAAGCTCTTACAGAAACCAAACCACCTTGTGTCTGGAATGAAATTGAGAAAAAATGAGGAGGAAGAGACAAAGTGAGAGGATCAGTGTCCAACATTGAGGCTTCTTTGGGAAGATTTGGCTTTTACTGAGTGAGCTGGATACCACAGGGAAGGGACATAATTTTACTCACATTTTAAGGGAACCCCTCTGATTCCTGGGCTTGAAGCAGACCATGACGTGCGGGGGAGGAACGGGAGCAGGGAGGCTATCTAGGAGTCAGCTGCAAACATTCAGGCTGACAGTGGGGAAGTTGGGACCAGCCTAGAGGCAGTGAAGGTGATGAGAAAGAAATGGCATATTTCTGGCATATTTCACTGGGCTGTGCTGTTTGATTGGATATGGGGTGTGAGAGAGGAAGTTGGGGTTGGGCCTGAGCAAGTTGGAGATGGCAGGCAGAGCAGGTATGGCTGCAGGGGAGCTCAGTTTGAGATGCAGGTAGGAGGTTGTAAAGCTTGGAATGCCAGAGAAAGGTCTGGGCTGGAGACAGGTGGAGGGGGAAGTGCAGGGTCAGCATAGAAAAACTGAAAACCATGAGAGACCTAGGAGAAATGGGGAAGGCCCAGAAGCAAGCATAAAACTTGGGCTGATCAGCAATTAAGGCCCTGAAAAGGAAAACAAAAACAAAACCACTTCCACCGTACACACTGAGCCTCTGCTGTCTGCCCTCTTTCTCAGGACGTCAGCTGTCCCCTCTGCCCTGACTCACTTTGGGGCCCCTTTCCTGTACCTCCTCCTCCCTCAAATCTCCAGGTTTCCTTACAGGGCTCCAGAGCATCTTCAGGAATCCCTATCATAGTAAGAGTAGCTGTGGATCAGCATACACAGGTCAACCAGGCTTTAGTACTGCACAGGGGCCCATTTTCCCAATGGGAACAACAAGGCAGGGCTGATGAACGATCTGCCCACAGACTTGGACAGGACTGGATGGAAAGCCTATGGTTTTAGCCTCCTATCACAATAAAGTGGGGGATGTTTTTGACACTACTGAGAAGGCTGATTTGCATTGTGGTGGCCAGAGGCCACTCCCAATCTCCCAGCTGACCTTGCAGAGGTCCAGCTTGGCCCAATCCCTGTGGCCTGCTTCTCTGAACCTTCCAAGGGATGTGATTGCATTTCCCCTGGCCTGGGAGGGCAGGAGGCCACCTACTGGCTCCTATAGGACCTGCACTGGGCTAGGAAATGTCTAGAAAGGGAATCCCCAGTTCTTTGGAGACCTTGGAGCAGCAGTGTGTGTGTGGGGGGGGGGGGGGGGGGTGGGGGGGGGGGAGGGGAGGCGGCTCAGGAAATCCTGCTGAGGACAGCTTCCGCCCCTCCAGGCTGGAAGCAGTCTGGGAGTGAAAGATCAGGTGGGAAATCCCAGCTGTGGATGGAGAATGAAGGGGCTGTTTTGGTCTGGTCAAGGAGTTGTAGGCTCTGGAGGCAGAGGAAGTGAGAGACAGGCAGAAAAGTTGTCTTTGCTGAGTTTATGTGCTGTGTGTCCATAAGCAAGTTAGTGCTCCACCCCAGGACTGTCCCCTAAATGTCAAGAGGAAAAGAGAAAAAGTAACTTTCTCCCCAATTCAGCTCTGGGAGAGAACCTGATCTTCCTTTTATCTTTACTCATCCCCAGCCCCATCCTCTCTGCTCCAGCCGGGCTTCTACCTGCCCCCTGGCTTCCTTTACCCCTTCTTGTTTGCACTCCATAAAAGAAGCAATGTCTAAAAAAAAAACTCCAGTCCTGGTGGCTCAGTGGTAGAGTTCTTGCCTTGCATGCATGAGGCCCTGGGCTTGATTCCTCAGCACCACATAAGCAGAAAAAGCTACAAGTGGTGCTGTGGCTCAAGTGGTAGAGTGCTAGCCTTGAGCTGAAGAGCTGAGAGACAATGCCCAGGCCCAGAGTTCAAGCCCCATAACCAAAAAAAAAAAAAACTCCAGTCCTGAGAGATATAGTAGGCTGAGGTCCAGGGCCCAGGGTCCAAATCTCAGTTTTATTGAAGTATGGACAAACTGTCCCTCTCTTCTGCATCTGGCTCCATCTTCTAAAGGACACAGCTTCAGCTGGAGACACTGACATCCAACCTCTTAGTCAGGTGCAGATGAAAGCTGAGCCCAGGAACCAGGAACCAGTGGAGCTGGGTATTAAGGGCTCATACCTGTAATTCTAGCTATTTGGGAGGCTGAGATCTGAGGTTTGTACGCCAGCCTGGGCAGACAAATCCATGAGACTCTTATCTCCAATTAACCAGCCGAAGAGCAGGAAAGTAGAGATGTGACTCAGGTGGTAGAGAGCCAGCCTTGAGATTTTTTTTGGGGCGTTGTTGTTGTTTATTTTTTAAAAAAGCAAGGAGGGGCTGGGAATGTGGCTTAGTGGTATAGTGTTTGCCTAGCATGCATGAAGCTCTGGGTTCAATTCCTCAGTACCACATACACAGAAAAAGCCGAAAGTGGTGCTATGGCTCAAGTGGTAGAGTGCTAGCCTTGAGCAAAAGAAGCTCAGGGACAGTGCCCGGGCCCTGAGTTCAAGCCCCAGGACTGGCAAAAAAAAAAAAAAAAGTAAGAACATGAGGTCTTGAGTTCAAGTCCTAGTACTAGCAGAAAAAGAGAGAGAAGAAAGAGAAAAGAAAAGGAGAGCAAGCTCAGAAGAAGGACAGCTCCATATTGGGGTGGGCTCAACAAGCACCCCTCATTGATCCACCTGGGGCCTGGAGCTCACCACAGCATGCCATTCCTTGACATTAGGATTTGTCTTTATGTGTCTGTGTATTGATCCTAGGGCTTGAACCCCTGTCTGGGCACAGTCCCTTAGCTTTTTCACTCAAGGCTAATGCTCTGCCACTTGAGCCACACTCCCACTCCCAGCTTTTTTGGTTGTTTGTTGGAGATAAGAGTCTCACAGACTTTCCTGCCCAAGCTGGCTTTGAACCATGATCCTCAGATCTCAGCCTCCTGAGTAGCTAAGATTACAGGCGTGAGCCACTGGCATCTGGCATTAGGCTTTACTTGCAAATCATTCTTTTCTTACAAGACACAACATTTAGCAGAGATGGCATCTTACATGAAGCATCATCTGCCGCCATAGTTAATCAGTTTCTGGTTCCCAGTGATTAAGAGTGAGCTCATAAGGAGAGGGAGCCCACTTTCAATATAAGGGATGTATCTGGAGAGTCAGATGTTGGCCTGTCCCATGGCCTGGGAAGTGACACTGATTGATCCGGAAGTGTAGGCACATGGGGGCATAACTACATCACACCCTGGTACTTATCTGTTGCCCTTGGAGAGAATAGTGGGGGTGGGGTGGCATGGGAGGCTATCCCCAGACCCAGCAAGGTCACCTCGCTGGAGGAAGGAGGAGGCCAGACTCCCCAGTCTCCTCCATTCCTGACTGTCCTATGTCCTGATGGCTCTCAGGGGAATTCATGATCTCACCCGTGGAAGGGGTGCTGCGGGTCCGCAGAGATGTGGAGCTGGACCGGGAGACAACTGCCTTCTACAACCTGACCATCTGTGCCCGCGACAGGGGAGTGCCCCCACTCAGCTCCACAGTGAGTCCTGGAAACACTGCCCCCCTCAGCCCAGAGAAGCCACCAGCTGCCTCTCAGACTCCTTGCTGAAGGCCGGCATGGGCCTGACAGCATGGCTCCTCAAAGTACACCCCAACAGCATCCTCCACATAAGCCCTTCCCACCAGCCCTCTGCTCCAGCCCCAGCCCTCTCCCTCCACCCTTACCCCTGCAGCGCTCCGTCCTCCACATTTCTCTTGTTTGGCTTGCCTTCCTTTGATGTTTTTCTTCCTATTTTTCCATGACTACTTGTGCCTTCCCTCCTTCCATACCTTTGCTGCCCTTTTCTGTCTCCCCATCATTTTCCCTCTTCCTCCCTGTTACCCCCTACTCCTCTGGCTACCCCCAGATGCTGGTGGGAATACGGGTGCTGGACATCAATGACAATGACCCGGTGCTGCTGAACCTGCCTCTGAACGTCACCATCAGTGAGAACAGCCCAGTCTCCAGCTTTGTTGCTCATGTCCTGGCCAGTGATGCCGACAGTGGCTGCAATGCTCTCCTTACCTTTAACATCACTGCAGGCAACCGGGAGCGGGCCTTCTCCATCAATGCCACGGTAGGCCGTGCCCATGGCCCCAGACTCTCTCCCTAAAGGAAGCAGGCCCCTGCCCTACAAGCTGTTTTTCTTTAAGATAGGCTCTTGTTATGTAGCTCAGTCTCCGGAGAACCAGGATTACAGGCACGTACTACCACACCCAGCTTCCCTGGAAGGTTTTCAACTGCTGTTGTTCAAATTCTCAGTTCTAGTTCCTTGATTGGGATGAGGAAATCTCTGTGCTAAGTGTGAAATCTTGGAGTTTCCCCAATGACCCAGGTTAAAGGAAGAATTCCTTAGACCAATTATAACAAGTAGAGTTTGAAGAAAGATGTAACCGAAGTATGAAACAGCCAGATATGGTAAAGCATCCTTTGAATCCCAGCACTCAAGAAGCAAAAGGATCTTGAGCTCTAGGCCAAGATCTGGTTATGTAACCCAGACCTTGTCTAAAAAAAAAAATTCACAAACTGGCAGGTTCTAGAGACCTACCAACTTGACTCATGAGCAGTAATTAAACAAATGAGACAGAAAAACAACTTAATTGACTGAAGCTTAGTCGATAGAAGGCAGCTGATTACAGCTTAATTAGTTAACTGTCAACAAGACCTCCAGCTAAGTAAAAGCACAGTTATGGTGACTGAAGAAAAGGTGGGTTAGCCTATGCTCAGCCCAAATCCGTGGTGCTTAAAAGTATCCATGTGGAAGTCCCCCCACCATCCTGCTTGAGGTTTGTCTTGGGCAGAGATGGGGCCCAAGCCTCTGGTTACTTGGTTACATCAAAGCCCCTTGGAGTGACCTCCTGGAGTGTCCATGTTTGCCTCATCCTTTGGGGGCAGCTAAACCTAGCATCAGTGACCCACTGGCAAGACTCTACCACACCTCTATAGCTCTCATCTCTCAGGCAGTTTGGGGAGCTGCAGAGCGTGGGACCAGAGCCCACAGTGGGGAACAGGTGCCACTTGGCTCACCAGCCATGTGCATCCCAGACAGGGGTGGTAACTGTGAACCGGCCCCTGGACCGCGAGAGGACCCCAGACTACAAGCTGACCGTTTCTGTGAAGGACAACCCGGAGAACCCCCGCATAGCCAGGAGGGTAAGCTAGGAGGGCCCTGTGGGTACCACTCTCCCCCAGGTGGCAACCCTAGGGCTTACATGCACAGGCTTTGCACTCAGAAAGTGCTGGGTTCAAATCCCAGTTCTACCTGTCTTTAGGTGTGTGGCTTTGGCAAACTAACTTCTCTGAGCTTCCATTTTTCTCTTCGCAAAATTACTGCACCCACCCAGACTTGTGAAGCCTATGAAAGCCATATATGTAATGTCCTCAGCACAGTGCCTGGCCCATGACAAGTGATCCATAAATGCCATCTATTATTTTCTTTCCCCCTGAAACCATGGGCATGTGCCCAGAAGTGCCTGTTTTACGGTCACACTGCACTTTCAAGTCCTATAAGGACTATATTGTCCTTGAAAGACCAGCCAAAAGAAGTTTACTGAAAGGCAACAAATAGATGTTGCCTGACAAACTCCCTTCCTGGGTAGGATAGGCATGCTCTCACCTGCTATGAGGTCAGAGTGCAGAGCCCTGCCCAGGAGTCCTTGGGCCTGCTCCCCTCGGCTCTACTCTAGCTGAGTGGCTCAGCCCAAACAGTGCTCTCTCAGGGCCTCAGTTTCCTCATCTATAACCTTCTTCAGGCTAAAGGTGTCATATGCATGGCCTCTCTCACTCGGTACTCCTCAGCTTCCTCCCTCCTCCCTGCCTCTTCTCTTTCTTGGTCTTCTACCTACCCCCATACCCCCAGTTATGAGTTATGGGAACAGGGAGGCTGGAGCTGACTCACTGTCATGGCTGTGGACCAGACATCACTCATGCTCCCACATCTGTGAGATAGCACTCCTTTCATTCCAGGAGTCACAAGCAGTGGGAAATAAAGCACTATGTGTTGGATGGACTCTGATGGGTGTCAGACAGGATTTGTAGGCTGAGTGTGTAGCTCAAGTAGTACAACACCTGCCTCAAAAAGTGCAAGGCCCTGAGTTCAAACCTCAGTACTGACCACACACACAAAAAAAACTATAACTTAGGCTGGGCACCAGTGGCTCACGCCTGTGATCCTAGCTACTCAGGAGGCTGAGATCTGAGGATCAAGGTTCAAAGTCATCCTGGGCTGACTCTCATCCAAATAACCACCAAAAAGCCAGAAGCTTGAGCTGTGGTTCAAGTGGTAGACCACTAGCCTTGAGCTCAGGGACAGCACCCAAGCCATGAGTTCAAGCCTAGTAGCACACACACACACACACACACACACACACACACATACACATACACCTACCTAGAACTTGCCTTCCTGAATTCCTTACCAGAAGGTACAACACAGTAAAATACCTCATCTATTTATCTTCATACCACTCCCTGAAAGAATTAAAGTTCCTACTTGTTCCTGGCTTGTGCCATGCCATGGTAGAGTGCTTGGCTAGCATACACAAGGCCCTAGGTATCATCCACAGCACTGAAAAAGAGCCATATGTCAGATTGGAAAATCAAGGCCCAGATGAGATTATTTGCCTAAGGTCACTCAATGAGGGGTTTGAACCCACATCTCTGGACCTCTAGAGTGGGCTTTTTTTTTTTTTTTTAATCATCTGCCTGTTCCCTGAGTCCTTACTTTTCAGCCCTCTTCCTGGGGCCCTTGGCTGGAGCACAGCCTACAACCTGTCCTCATTCTGCCCCTCACAGGACTTTGACTTGCTGTGGGTCTCTCTCTTGGATGAGAATGACAACCATCCCCTCTTCACAGAGGGCACCTACCAGGCAGAGGTGATGGAGAACTCTCCTGCAGGTAGGTACTGCACCTACCCAAGCCATGGCCGCCATGGTCAGGCACTGCTGGAGCCTTGGGCACTAAGGAGGTCCTGTGGACCTGGTAGTATAGCTGAATGTAGCCCCCAGTGGGTGTGCCGTAGTGTCTCAGGGGAGGGCACAGCTCTGAGGGACTACTGACAAGGCAGCAGGTCTGGATGAGATTATTATGGTCATTGGAGAGAGCAACCTAATGCCCTCAAGAGGGCATTCAAACCAAACATCAGTACCTCATGCCTATAATCCTAGCTACTCAGGAGGCTAAGATCTGTGGTTCAAAGCGAGCCTGGGCAGGAAAGTCTGTGAGACTTTTTAATCTGTAACCACCAAAAATCTGGAAGTAGAACTATGGCTCAAGTGATAGAGTGCCATCCTTGAGCCAAGAGAAAAAAAATAGCTAAGGAACAGTGCCCAGGCCCTGAGTTCAAGCCCCAGTACTGGCAGAAAAAATACATTAAAAATAAATGAATAAATAGGGCATTCAGGGTAGAAGGACTATCCAGGATGGGCAGAGCCCACTCCTCCCTCCATGCTCCCCCAACCCCATTGGGTGGGAGCTCTTGGAGAAGGAGGTAGGGATTCTGGGTAGCCATTATATATTGGTCAGCCTTGTCTCTCTTCAAAGGGACAGCACCTGCCCTTTAATACAATCTCTCCTAACCTCCAGTCCTCAACCTCCCCAGCCGCAAGCTCAGATTCTAAGTGTAAAAGAATGAGCTAAGATCAAGGCTCATTGGAAGGGCAGTGCTTTCCCTACTTGCCTCTGCCCATGTCGGCACATGTCCATAGCATGGGTTATACTCATGCATAGATACAATGGGCCCTGTATGCCCACTTGGCATCCTCTCGGTACATGTGCCCACTTCCTGCAAAGGCAGACAAACACATCCAGGAGAGCCACAGGATTGTGTGTGTTTCCTTGGTACAGGATGATGGACACATGGGCCCATGCACCACCAGTGGGCTCCTAGCCATATGTGGTCAGACACTGTAGCTAGTGCATTGCAGTACACACATGTGGACAGATAGGACCAACATGGGGCGGGGGTGGGATACCAAGGAGCCCCCAGACCCTCCTGAGGAGTGGCCAGCCTCAAAGGCTGCTGGGAAGCAGGTGTGGCTCCAGGCAGGCCAGGGGCTTGCTCACCACTCTTGTGTTTTCTCCCCAGCAGGGCTTTGAGGCCGCTCCCAGGCATCTGCGTTCAGTCTGCCAAGGCTGCCGCAGGCCCGCCCCGGGGCCTCCCTATCCTGCCCATCTGCCCGCCTCACCTCCCTTCCCTCTCATCCATCCTCAGCCATGGCTCACAGGGATAGGGACAGGGAGGGGGGAGGGCAGGGGCCGGCTTGGCCTGTGGTGACTCCTCTCCCCCTGGCCCAGGGACCCCCCTCACCATGCTCAATGGGCCCATCCTGGCCCTGGATGCGGACGAGGATGTATATGCCGTGGTCACCTACCAACTGCTGGGTACCCACAGTGGCCTCTTTGACATCCACAACAGCACGGGTAAGGCCTCTGCTCTAGCCTGGCTCTGGGGTGAGCCTGGGCCCCAGCTTGGTCAAGGGTTCCTCATCAGTCTAGGATCCAGGCTTTCCTGGGAACCCCAGTTCTCACAGCCCCCATTCCCATACTGCAGCTGGAGTAGGGCAGTCAGCAGCCCCAGGAAGAAGCTTGGAGATAATCCAAAGGACCTGTTGATGCCCAGACTCTCCAATAAAGCAGAGAGTCCCAGATGACTCCTATCATCTCCCAAGCTCAGGCCACAACATCAGGTTCCTGCCTGGCTGGAAATAGCCAAAGCAGCTTCCTTGTCCTCCCTAGGGGCATGTCACATCAGTCTGGTTCTAGACAGATGGCCAATCTGGTGACAGGTACCAACAGGGAAGTCCATCTCTCAGTGGAGCAGGTCACTCTTCCCAGGCAGGACTGGAGGATGGCAGAGGACCCTGTGGAGGGCCGCCAGAGACACATGGGGTGGTCAGGCCTTGGGAGAAGAAAGTCACTGTGCTACTTTCTGTTCGTCTTTGCTCCCCATTTCTATGTGCTCCCCTCTTCCTCTGTCTCCACCCTGTTGGCCCTCACTGTCTTTTACACCTTCTCTGCCTTCCATGCTTCTCCCCGGCTGGTGGCACGGGGTGCCAGGCGTGGTGAGCGTGAGGTCAGGTGTCGTCATTGACCGGGAGGCCTTCTCACCCCCCATCCTGGAACTGCTGCTGCTGGCTGAGGACATAGGGCTGCTCAATGGCTCAGCCCACCTTCTCATCACCATCTTGGATGACAATGACAACTGGCCCACCTTCAGCCCCGCTGCCCTCACCGTCCACTTGCTGGAGAATTGTCCACCAGGTAGGAAGCACCAGGCTCTAGGCCATGCCTCCTGCACCCACCAAGGGTTAGTTGAGGATGGGTGGAGACCCAGGTAGAAGCAGAATTCTCTTCCAGGGACAGTTAGGCAGCTGTGTGATTGAGAGAGCACTGAAGTGCTTCATGCCCCACTGCCCACTCCTTCCTCTGAGCCTTAGTGTACTACATGCAAAAGAAGATGTGCAAGTACCTTCTATCCATGTTCCTGGATGCAAAGACGACCTGTTCTAATCAAAATGAGATCAATGTGGGTTGGGAGTGTGGCTTTGCGGTAGAGTGCTTGCCTAGTGTGCATGAAGCCCTGAGTTCGATTCCTCAGTATTACATAAACAAAAAAGTCAGAAGTGGCGCTGTGGCTCAAATGGTAGAGTGCTAGCCTTGAGCAAAAGAAGCTCAGGGACAGTGCTGAGGCCCTGAGTTCAAGCCCCAGCACTGGAAAAAAAAATGAGATCAATGTGATTCCCAACCTAATCAAACTTTAGAGTAGGAGTGGCTCAAAAGGCTAACCAGAAAAAATAAATTTTGAAAAAAATAAAGCCAGGTGTGGTAGTTTTGAAGCCAGCTTGAAGTGTTTAAAACTATAACAAACCTAGGCTAGTTGTTGTAGGTAGTAGAAACATAGTACAAAGCTAGGTATTTTAAATGAGTGATATAGAATGGGCACAAGTAGCCTAGAAATCAATACTGGTAAATTAAAGAATATGATTAAGCAAAAACTTTTGATATCTGTTATGTTAGATTATATAAGTACACGCAGATCATATAATCAAATATTTGGTATAGATTCAGCCCATATCCGACACCAAAATAAAACTCAGGGATATCTAAAGAAAATGTAAGAACAAAAAACACTGGAAAATGAAAGAAGAATAAGGATAAGAATGATAGTATTTATCTAATTTCTGTATAAGAAGGTTCTAGACATAAAAAAGAACAACTCATAAAAATACTAAATTTCAGCCAGGCACCGGTGGCTCATGCCTGTAATCCTAGCTACTCAGGAGGCTGAGATATGAGGATTGCAGTTCAAAGCCAGCCCGGGCAGGAAAGTTTGTGAGACTCTTATCTCCAACAAACCACTAGAAAATCGGAAGTGGTACTGTAGCTCAATTGGTAGAGCGCTCGCCTTGAGCTGAAGAGCTGAGGGACAGCGCTCAGGCCCAGAGTTCAAGCCCCACGACCAACAACAACAACAACAACAACAACAAAAAACCCCTAAATTTCAGCACACACAAAAAATTTGAAACTTCTGGCCAGGCACCAAGGGCTCACACCTTTAATCCTAGCTACTAGTTTAGCAGTCAATCTCCAACCCCTCAAAAAATTCTCACAAACTGAGAAAAAGATCTCTTCCCAAAATATCTGAGATCATCAAACCTCCACCTCTGGAGGTTACAGTCCATGCTCTATTGCTTTGGGCTGTGGTGAGGCAGAATTTCCTGGCGGGAACTCAGAGTAGAGCAAACTGCTCACCTCATAGGGCCTGGGAAAAAAGAAGAGGGGGCCAAGGTCTCAGTGCCTCCTTGAAGGACCAGCTACACTACAGCCAGGTGTCTTTCACCTGGGCCCTACAAAGAGTTCCATGGCTGGAGACCAAATCTTAATGACTAGCCTTTACTTAAACCATAGTGGTTCATAATTAAACAGTGATTTGTATAAATTGACAGGAAAGTAGGCAAAGCAAGCAATAACTTACTAACCATTAAATTACAAAATATTATTTAATCAAAGAACTTTTTAAAATTTTCCTATTGCCAGGCACTGGTTGCTCACACCTATAATCCTGGCTACTCAGGAGGCTGAGATCTGACTATCGCAGCTCAAAGCTAGCCTGGGCAGGAAAGTCTGTGACACTCTTATCTCCAATTAACCACCAGAAAACTGGATGTGGCACTGTGGCTCAAAGTGATAAAGCACTAGCCTTGAGCTGAAGAGAGAGAGCTCAGGGACAGTGCTCAAGACCTGAGTTTAAGCCCCATAACCGACAAAAAATAAAGTGAAATTTTTCTGTTAAATTGCAAATGTACTTTTTTTCCCTTTTCCTAGTACTAGGGCTTGAATGCAGGGCCTCTCTCTCTCTCGCTTGGCTTTTTTGCTCAAGGCTGAAGCTCTACCATTTGAGACACCTCCATTCCAAGGTAGTTGCTTGGAGAATAAGAGTCTCTTAGGTTTGGGGGCTGGGGAGGTGGCTCAGTGGTAGAGTGCTTGCCTTGCATGCCTGAGGCCCTGGGTTCGATTCCTCAGCACCACATAAGCAAAAAGAAAAAAAAGCCGGAAGTGGCGCTGTGGCTCAAGTGGTAGAGTGCTAGCCTTGAACTGAAGAGCTGAGGGACAGCGCCCAGGCCCAGAGTTCAGGCCCCACGACCGGACCCCCCCCCCCCCAAAAAAAAAAAAAGAGTCTCTTAGGTTTATCTGCCAAGGCTGCCTTCAAACCTAGATTCTCAGATCTGTCTCCTGAGTAGCTCAGATTATAGTCATGAGCTACCAGCATCCAGCTACGTAAATTCTTTGTTTTGTTTTGGTTTTTGGTGTTTTTTTTTTATGGTCCAGTTGTGGGGCCTGAACTCTGGGCCTGGCTGCTATCCCTCAGCTCTTCAGCTCAAGGCTAACGCTCTACCACTTGAGCCACAGCACCACTTCCGGCTTTTTTCTTTTTGCTTATGTGGTGCTGAGGAATCGAACCCAGGGCCTCATGCATGCAAGGCAAGCGCTCTACCACTGAGCCACCTTCCCAGCCCCAGCTCTTAAAAGATAAATGCCATCAAGACTACAACAGGAAGAGGCCTTTCTTGGTATGGGCTTTCTGGACAAAGCCTGGGTGCTCAGCTTCTCCCCACTCATGCCCACAGGATTCTCAGTTCTTCAAGTCACAGCTACTGATGAAGACAGTGGTCTCAATGGGGAGCTGATCTACCGAATAGAAGCTGGGGCTCAGGACCGCTTCCTCATCCATCCAGTCACCGGGGTCATCAGTGTTGGTGATGTGACCATTGACAGAGAGGAACAAGAGTCCTACAGGCTGACAGTGGTGGCCACTGACCGAGGCACTGAGCCCCTCTCAGGCACAGCTATGGTCACCATTCTGATTGATGACATCAATGACTCTCGTCCTGAGTTCCTCAATCCCATTCAGACGGTGAGCGTGCTAGAATCTGCAGAGCCAGGCACTGTTATTGCCAACATCACCGCCATCGACCTTGACCTCAACCCAAAGCTAGAGTATCATATTATTGGCATCGTGGCCAAGGATGACACTGACCGACTGGTGCCTGACCAAGAAGATGCCTTTGCTGTGAATATCAACACAGGTACAAGGGCCTGCTGCTGCCCACCACCCCTTCCTCCTTCCCTCCCTCCCTCCCTCCCTCCTTTCTTTCCTTTTCTCCCTCCTTACTTCCCTTCTTTTCCTCCCTCCTTTCTCCCCTCCTTTCTCTTCTGCTCCTTTGGTATTCCCTTCTAACAACATCTATCCCCCTTTCCCTTCTCTTCCCTGCTTCCTCCCTCTCTCCTTTTTTTTTTTTTTTTTGAGGTCATGGGGCCTGAACTCTAGGCCTGGGCACTGTCCCTCAGCTCTTTAGCTCAAGGCCAGAGCCCTACCACTTGAGCCACAGTGCCACTTCTGGCTTTTTCTGCTTATGTGGTGCTGAGGAATCGAACCCAGGGCCTCATGCATGCAAAGCAAGCATTCTGCCACTGAGCCACTTTCCCAGCCCTCCCTTCTCTCCTTTCTCTTACTCCTCCCTTGACCAGTGCCTCTGAGTTTTCTGGCTCTCCTCCTCTACAGATTGCACAAGAGTGCCCACTTTACCATGTAAGCCAGCATTCTGTATTACAGAGTTTCCATGTTTATAATATTAAAGCAAAATAACACCTTGCTTTAATAGTGCATTTCTGTATAACTACAGTCAATCAAACACTTCATGAATATACCACCCATATAAATTGTTTACCTTTATTGTACCCTTAATTTTTTTTAAATCTATGGTCTTCATAAAACAAAGGGAGCTACCTGTGGCTTATATTTCACAATTTATGCCACTAATTGTAGTTTTTATTTTTTGTGTGGGGTGTTGTTGTTGTTGTTGTTGTTTTGCCAGTCGTGGGGTTGAACTCAGGGCCTGGGCACTGTCCCTAAGCTCCTTTTACTCAAGGCTAACACTCTACCACTTGAGCTACAATGCCACTTCTGGCTTTTTCTGTGTATGTGGTACTGAGGAATCAAACCCAGGGCTTCATGGATGCTAGGCAAACACTCTACCACAAAGCCACATTCCTAGCCCGCCACTAATTGTAGTTTTGATGTTCTATTTTTTTTCCCCAAAAGTTCAATGTTTTTGATCTACTGAAGATTTAGGGGAATCCATGGCTCTGGCAAAAATTCTAAACAATCATTGTTGTTTTTTCTGGGTTTGTATTGTTTTGTTTGATAAGGTCTCCTTATGTAACCCAGGCTAGCTTTGAACTCTCAATGGTGCCTCTTGTCACCCCATCACCCGAGTGCTGGGATTATAGTCATGCACCAACCACCACACCTGGTTTTTACCAATCGTTAGAAAAAAGCAAATCAGCTTTCTGTACAGGTCTGACAGAGTGCTGGACAGTATTGGCACTGGTGACACCATGGGGATACTGGAACTCTCAGGCACTAATTGTAGTAGTTGAAATTAATTCTGTTATCAGCCAGCAACCCAGTACCCATTACACTCAGACTCCAAGGCCCCACAATTCTTTTTCCTAGTATATGTCCCAAAGTACTTCCCAGCATGAGATGGAGCTGCCCCAGTATTTCCTGTGACAGGGCACATTCCTATAAGACTAGAAATTAAAAAGTAGTGGTTCATGCCTGTAATTCTAGCTATTCAGGAGGCTGAGATCTGAACGTTCAAAGCCATCTGGGGCCGGAAATTCTGTGAGATTTATCTTCAATTAACTACCAAAAAAGCCAGAAATGGAATAGAGCTATGGCTTTAGTGGTAGGGCACCAACTTTGAGCTGGAAAAGCTCAGTGATAGTACCTAGGCCCTGAGTTCAAGCCCGAGGACCAGCATACACATACACACACACACACACACACACACACACATACACACACACGAGCTCACGCGCGAGTACAAGTTATATACAAGGCAGCAGTTGAAAGCCATAGAAGAGACACAAACAACAATGTAGGTCAACCTCACAATTAAGTACTTACTAAAAAGTACAAGAAATAGGGCTGGGAATTTGGCTCCATGTTGGAGTGCTTGCCCTGCATGCATGAGGCCCTGGGTTTGATTCCTCAGCACCACATAAGCAGAAAAAAGCTAGAAGTGGTGCTGTGGCTCAAGTGGTAGGGCTCTAGCCTTGAGCTGAAGAACTGAGGAACAGCGCCCAGGCCCAGAGTTCAGCTTCTATGACCGACCCCCTCCCCCAAAAGAAAAGTACAAAAAATAGATACCACTACACTACTTGCAGAACTGTAATCCTAGCTACTCACAAGGCTGACATCTAAGAATTGTGGTTCAAAGCCAGCCTGAGAAGACAAATCCAAAAGAGATGGGAAGACAAATCCAAAGCCAGAGATGGAGGCATGGCTCAAGAGGCAGAGTGTCAACTATGAGAAAGCCAAGTAAGAACATATGGCCCCAAGTTCAAGGTCTGGTACCAGCACATACATACACAAAATATTTTTTAAGCTAGATGCAAGTGGTTCATGCCTGTGATCCCAGCTATTTAGGAGACAGATTATTGGGATCACAGCTCCAAACAAGACTGGTAAGAAAATAGTTTGTGAGATGCTCTTCTCAAGGAAGAACTGTGTATAGTGATGCATGGCCATTATCCTAGCTTCAGAGAAGCCTGGCATAAGTGAATTGTGCTCAGGCAGGAGTTGAGACCCTATCCCAAAAATGAGGAAGCTAAGTCAGGGCTGAATGTGTGTCTCAGCAATACATGTACCTGTCTAGCAAGCCAAAACTGGAGTTCAAACCTAACTACTGCAAAATAAATAAACAAATAAATAAATAAATAACAAAAGCAAAGGGGCTGGGAAGGTGGCTCAGTGGTAGAGCGCTTGCCTTGCATGCCTGAGACCCTGGGTTCGATTCCTCAGCACCACATAAGCAAAAAGAAAAAAGCCAGAAGTGGCACTGTGGCTCAAGTGGTAGAGCGCTAGCCTTGAGCTGAAGAGCTGAGGGACAGCGCCCAGGCCCAGAGTTCAGGCCCCACGACCAGACCCAAAAAAATAAAAATAAAAAAATAACAAAAGCAAAAACAAAAACTCTGTAATGCTTTACAGTGATTGCTTGAGAGATGTAAGGGGGAGGAGTAAGGAAATACAAGCGAATGAAAGGCAAAGCATCAATTACCCCAACATGCAATAAAACTAGTCAGATTGGCTTTGTTTGCATTCAGATCCCTAAGGAAACAGAGAGTCCCTGAGCTTTTGAGAAGTTGTGGCAGAATCAGCCCCACCTGGGTTAGAGAGTTCCCGGCCATGTGGTTGGTCAGGACCATGGAGAGCTGCTCTTAGCCCTGCCGGGTGCCAAAGCCTTCATCATTTACTTTTTTTTTCTGTTCTTTTAGCCTCCCACTGACTCTCTTCTTTCTTTTTCTTTTCAGTGTGTTTTTTTCTTCCTCTTCCTCACTCTCTCCTACCCTTCTTAACCTTCCGTCCCTGTTCTTGCCAGAGCCTCAGCCTCTGAGCTTTCCACTCTAAACCGGGCTCCCACTTGCTGACTCCTGTCTTCTCCCTCTGCCTGTCTCCCACCCACTCCTTTCCTTCCTTCCCTGGCCAGCTCTGCCCCCACACCCTGCTCTATTCCCCCCTGCTGCACTTTGAACTAACCAAAGTTAATCCTCTTCTCTCTTCTTCACGGCTGGCAGGCCCACAGGTTTGAGCTCTGTTTCTGTCACCTCCCACCTCATCTCCTCTCTGCTTCACCCCATTGCCGTCCTCCATGCCCACATACCCCCACCCTTCCTGCCCTGTGGGGCCGGCCCAGGCCGTGCCCAGCCTTTGCAGACTGAACGCAGCTGCCCTCTCCCCATCCTCGCTCCCCAGCCTGGGTGACGGGGAGCGAGAGTAGGAAGAGGAGGAGGAGGAGGAGGAGGCGGAGGCCCAGGGTAAGTGACTGCCCATGCCTGGGGACCCGTGGAGAACAGAAGTCCAGCAGGGGGTCTGTTGAGGGTCTGCCAGAGAGGGAGAGGAGGTCTCACCTAGGGTAACTGTGGAGTTATCATTTGGAGCCACCAGGCCCCGGGGCAGGTAGCAAGAAGAAATAGACTCAGCATAGTCAATTCTACTATCAGCCAATAGGTTTGTCAAACCAGACCCGAGATTCTAAAGAGTTTCCCTCTGACTCAGGGTGCACACAGAGACTGTGGGGGACAGTAGCTATACATTTCCAGTCCCCTCCTTCAGTGAACCATGCCCCACATGATGCCTGGGCTCCCAGCACAGTAGCCCCTCTTGGCACCCAGCTATACGACCTTCTTTTATTCTTGATCTCCCTAAAACATAGTAATTTCAAAATTGTGATTTAAAAAAATGTATCAGTTTAAACACATTCACATGGCCACACATCTTATGTGCCTGGCAAATGTTTTAAGTATTTGGTAAATGGAATGACATTTCATTTTTCTAATCAGAAGAGTCCTGTGTAATTAATACTGTAATTCCCCTCCACTTTCATAAATGAGCAAACGGAAGCACAGAGAGGTTAGACAGCTTGTGCAAGGCACACAGCCAGTAAACACTGGGTGGTATGTCCCCATCCATGCAAGTGGCTATGTGTCCTTCCCTAGGGTCCATGTGGAGTGACTTCCCCCTGCAGGGATTGGGAGGTAGGCCAGGGGCTCCCCCTGGGAGGCCCAGATTGTAGAAGATTCCCCTGGAGCTGAACCTGATCTGGTCTGGTCCACAGGGTCTGTAATGGTGAAGTCCCCCCTGAACCGGGAGCTGGTTGCCACCTATGAGGTCACTCTCTCAGTGATTGACAATGCCAGCAACCTACCAGAGCAGTCTGTCAGCGTGCCAAATGGTAAGATTTCCCTTGCTAGTTTCTCTTATTGGTCACTCAGAGCCAGTGTGGATGGGGACAGGTGAGGACAGAGAACCAGCAACAGATACAAGCCTGACCCAAAGAGGGAGCCAAGCATCAGGACTCAGCCACAGGGCTGCACGTAGGAGCCATGGCATACACACAGAGGAAAAGAAGGTGACTCAAGGCTACAGACACCACAATGAGCGTGATGATGAAGAGGAGGCCAGCTGCTGCCATCTGTCTGCAGCCTGGGCCATGAGGTGGGGATGGGAGCTGCTAGACATTGGATTGAGTCGGCTGGTACAGAGTGGCTCATTGGTGTGAGGACAGTGGCTGGCCTCATAGGTCCTGGCTGCTTTTAAGTTTTCCCAAAGGGAAAGGCACAAGTTCTGAGATCAGAGGGTAATGGGCTCAGGTGGGCTCCAGATGAAGAAGACCATAGTAGGGAAGGGTCTTAAAGATAGGTCATCTTAGTCCTATCTCACTGACCAGCTTAGGAAATGGAAGCTCAAGAAGAACTAGGGCCTCTACCACTCAGAACTCAAGACGAAGTAGGGCCTCTAGGCCACTCAGCCACTGGGTACAACCCAAGTCCTTCTGCCATGTGGAAGGGCAAGGCCGGGCCAGAGGGTATGATACAAGAAGTCACAGGAAGGCTGTGGCATGCTGCCATCTCCTAGACTTGGATGAGGCTTACGAAGCCCTGGCCAACCCTATTCATGCCTCTCCTCCCTACCTCCTTCCTCCCCTCCACAAACCCCACCTTTACCCCAGCCAAGCTGACAGTCAACATCCTGGATGTCAATGACAATACACCGCAGTTCAAGCCCTTTGGGATCACCTACTACACAGAGAGGATCCTCGAGGGGGCCACCCCGGGCACCACACTCATCGCTGTGGCCGCTGTGGACCCCGACAAGGGTCTCAATGGGCTGATCACCTACACACTGCTCCACCTCACACCCCCAGGCTATGTCCAGCTGGAAGACTCCTCAACCGGTAGGTGGGAAAGCTGCTGGAGATTTCAGGGACATAGGTGTTATGTCCACCTGCCCTCAAGCAGGCCCAGGGCCTGCTTCTCACCCTCTGGTGGAGGGACGGGGAACAGGGAGCCTGCCTCAGCCGTGCGATGGGCTGGGCCAGATCCAGTACAGCGGACATCCTATTATTCACTTCTGGCTGCTTGGAGTAGAGAAAAAGACAGAGGCACCTAAGCCCGAGATGTCCACTGGAATCCTAGCACACCCTAGCACCATCTCCATCATCCACCTTCCTGTAACAATTAGTATCGCTCAAGAATAAAGGGGTTAAGGGAGAGGGCTATCCAAAGAGGAGGGCTCTCCAAGGAGATCCTGGGCTACTTGCTGTCCTTATCAGTGCTCCAGGAAAGAAAGTCCAATGTCAAGTCTTCTTAGCCCCCTGGCCCTTTCACAGGGCAGTGCTGCCTGATTGCCCTCCTTAAGTGTACACACCTGCTCCTCAGAGCCTCAGACCCTTCTCAGACTTCAGAGAGCTGCTACAAATAAGGAGTGACCCCAACAGTAGGTGTCTCTGTGTCTCAGGGAAGGTCATTGCCAACCGGACAGTAGACTACGAGGAGGTACACTGGCTCAACTTCACAGTGAGAGCTTCAGACAATGGGTCCCCACCCAGGGCTGCTGAGATCCCTGTCTATCTGGAGATTGTGGACATCAACGATAACAACCCCATCTTCAACCAGCCTTCCTACCAGGTGAGTGGTCAGGCCAACAGATTAGGCAAGACCTGTGACCATGATTGGTGTAGCTTTTGTCCCACCTGCCAGTGCAAACACCATGGGTACTTTGGACAGGGTGTGAACTCCAGGGCTGACCTTGGTCCACTCTCTCTGCAGGAGGCCATCTTAGAGGATGTACCTGTGGGCACTGTCATCCTGACTGTCACTGCTAATGATGCGGACTCGGGCAACTTTGCCATCATCGAGTACAGCCTTGGCGACGGGGAGGGCAAGTTCGCCATCAACCCCACCACAGTAAGCAGGCCATGGTGGGCTGGGGCTGGAAGTGGGAAGTCCCAGGATCACAAGCTGGGAAGCCACCCAGATTTACAAGTTTTTCCGTTGTTTCTGGGTCCTGCCACTTGGACATCAGCAACCTCAGAGGTTAGCAAACTCAGAGTCTCTCACTCATGTGCGCACATTCGTACATACACACACACACACACACACTCTCTCTCACACACACACACACACACACACACACACACACACACACACACACGTACGCGCACGCACCTCTGTCAGCTGCAGCCTGTCTGCCCAGCTTGTGGGGAGGAAGTAGCTAGTCTTTGGGAAGTGACCCTTTGTGGAACAGAAACTTCTTAGATGTGAAAGTCCATGGATTGCTTTCAAGGACTACCAAAATCAAGAAAAGAAACCGGGCATCAGTGGCTCATGCCTGTAATCCTAGCTACTCAGAAGACTCAAACCTCAGAGGTTTGAGGATCAAGGTTCAAAGATAGCCAAGGCAGGAAAGTCCATGTGACTCTTATCTCTAATTAATTACCAAAAAACTGGAAATGGCACTGTGGTTCAAAGTGGTAGAGCACTAGCCTTGAATACAAAGGCTCAAGGACAGTGACCAGGCCCTGAGTTCAAGCCCCAGTACTGGCACATACAAATAAAAAATAGGAAAGTGGGCACAGTGTTTGAGCACCTATTGTATGCATGGCTTTATGCTCGGTGTGGAAGAAAAGAAAAAACCCTAAAGGTCAGATGTCCATGTCCCCAGCTATCTCAGACCTGTGGGAAACTAAAACTAGAAGAAAACATAGGTCATGAATTCACATGTATGCTCATTGGGTCAGAGTGCTATTTTCAATATGGAAGAGAGTCCTGTGGCCTGGGAGTGTTTGGTGAGCAGAACATTTCCTGTTACTAGAGCTGAAACAGGACTTTTCTTCCCACTGCCCCTCTCTGCCTGTCCCCCAGCTTTCTGCCCATCAGTGGGGCTCACTTCTGTTCTATCTTACAGTCAGACATAGTTCCTGGCCTAGCAGCAGCTAGAATCCTCTACTCTGCCAGGCCCTGGTTAGGCAAGTTGCTCCAGCCTGGGCTGATGTTCCCAGGGGTAGGAAGAGCACAAAGAGTCACTAGAACCTCAGACCAGGATTTTGTTCAGTGCCATACCTGTAGACTCCAAAACAGTGTTCAGCCATAGTAGACACCCTATCCATGCCTGTTGAATGAATGAAGGACTTGAAACAACCTTCCCCTGACTAGGGAGACATCTATGTCCTGAGCGCTCTGGACCGGGAGAAGAAGGATCACTATATTCTGACTGCCTTGGCCAAAGACAACCCTGGGGATGTAGCCAGCAACCGTCGAGAAAACTCAGTGCAGGTGAGAGTACCAATCTGCGCCAGAGAAAGTGGATGTGGCAGGGAGAAGGAGGAGGTCAGTAAATAAAGTCTGAAAGAGGTGGGGGGGGGCGGGCACAGGACCACCCAGTCCCCTCAAACATGGTTGCAGACAAGAAAAGGTAAAAGTTTGCCTTGTGGTTTCCAATGGCTGGGGACATCACTGGTGTCACACTGCTCCCTGGGATAGCTGGGCATACCTGGGGGTGGCCGTGCTGGCCCAGAATCTCCATAGTGCCTCACTGAAACAGGCCAGCAACCGAGCATAAGGACAAAGTAGTCATCTTATTTATGACTTCCTCCCTCAACCCCTCCTCTTTTTTTAAAATTTTTGAGACTGAACCTTACTATGTAGCCCAGTGATCCTTGTGCTTCAAACACAAGGATTACAAACCTGTACTATCATGTCAAACTTGTTTATGACTCTTTTTTTTTGGAGGGGGGCGGGGTCTGGTCGTGGGGCCTGAACTCTGGGCCTGGGCGCTGTCCCTCAGCTCTTCAGCTCAAGGCTAGCGCTCTACCACTTGAGCCATAGCGCCACTTCCGGCTTTTTTCTTTTTTGCTTGTGTGGTGCTGGGGAATCGAACCCAGGGCCTCAGGCATGCAAGGAATCTTCCCAGCCCCTTGTTTATGACTCTTAAGTCTTTAATTTTTATTATAAAGGTGATGTACAGAGGGGTTACAGTTAGAGTACACATTGGGGCCGGGAAGGTGGCTCAGCGGTAGAGTGCTTGCCCTGCATGCATGAGGCCACGGGTTCGGTTCCTCAGCACCACATAAATAGAAAAAGCTGGAAGTGGCACTGTGGCTCAAGTGGTAGAGCACTAGCCTTGATCTGAAGAGCTGAGGGACAGCGCCCAGGCCCAGATTTCAAGCCCCCCAATCGCCAAAAATAAAAGACAGAGAAATAGTACATCTTTTTTGATAATGTCACCCCTTCCCCTCATGCTTTCCCAGTTTTTCCCTCCCATATCCCACCCACAAGTTGTATAGTTCATTTTCAACATAGTGTCTAGTGAGTACCATTTCTGCATTTTTTACCCTTTTTCCCTCCATTTCTGTGTATGACTCTTAATTACTGAGTGACCAAATTCATGGCACCCTTCCCATCTTGGCTCTGGTGTTCTGTGGCTGTCTCTCTCTATCCTACACTGAAGATTAAACCTGCAGGCTTCCTGATTGCTACATACCCCGGCCCTCTTGTTCATATTTTGTTTTTGATACAATGTCTATCTCAGCTGACCTGGAACTCATGATCCTCTTGTCTCCACTTCTCAAAGAGCTGAGATTATAAGCTTATGCCACTACGTGGCTCATAACTCCCCTTCTAAGCCCTTTGTCCCTTTTTCTACCCCAAGTCCTAATATTTTGCTGCCTCTATTCCCCATAATTCTGCAAAGGAAACTGCTGAACAAATGGAGGATGAGAAGACAAAGAGGCCTAGATTTGTATGTGCATGTGCATGTATGCATGCCAGTACTATGGCTTGAACTCAGCCTCTGGTTCTTACTTGGCTTTTTCATTCAAGACTTGAGCCATGCCTCCACTTTCAGCTCTTATGCTGGTTCATCACAGCTAAGAGCCTCACAGACTTGGAGTTGGCTTCAAACCAGGATCCTCAGACTTCACCCTCCTGAGTAGCTAGGATTACAGCGATGAGCCACCAGCAACTGACTCCCAGATTCTCTTTTTCAGGGAGAAGGGCCTATCGGGGAGCACTCACACATACAGTATCTCACATTCATGCACAGTGCTGGGAAAAACATGGTCTGTGGGGTGGAAGGCTAAGGTCCTGGAACTGAGCCATATGCATTTGTTGATAGGCCTCTCTGACTGTAGAGGGTGCTGTGGATGTGACCCTAGGAAATAGGGAGATGAGGTGTCCCGAGCCTGCTTTATATCCCAAAAGGGATCTTCAAAACCAGGCTCTGATGTACTCAGGCACAGCTGGGGAAGGGAGGCCTCCTGGTCTGCTATGTTTGGGGGTCAGCAGAGGAAGCCTGGTCCCTGGACACAGCACAAACTCCAATTGACAGGGGCCCTAGGGCTGGGTGTGGTAGCTCAAACCTCTAATCGCAGCACCTGGAAGCATGGAGGCAGGAGGAGGTGAGTTCAAGGAAGATCTGGACTACAGAGCAAGACCCTATCTCAAAAATAGTAATAAAGAGGGGTCCTGGGGAGTAGAAGAAGCCCAGCTGTCCAGTATGAAGTCCTGGAAAATAGAGCCAGACTTCCAGAGCCCTGGTGGCTGAAACACAGGAGGAGGGGAGGAGCCAGGGGTTCCTGTTGCTAGTTCTGGTACCCACAACTCCTCACTGTTCAATGTTTATTTGAGCAACACTAATGAAATGTAGCAGGTGGTGTCATGTGCCAGCCTCACAAGGACTCTGAGAGAAGCTATTTCTATCCCATTTGCACAGTTATAGAAACTCAAACATTCAGTAAGTTACCTGAGTCCAGGCTCCAGTGTGTTTGAAGACAGTACTTCCCTCCCAGGGCAGTCCCTTCCTGGACCCTGACCTTTGACTTTGATACCCGCTCCCCCTCCCCAGGTGGTGATCCAAGTGCTGGATGTCAATGACTGCCGACCACAGTTCTCTAAGCCCCAGTTCAGTACGAGTGTGTATGAGAATGAGCCAGCAGGCACCTCGGTCATCACCATGATGGCCACTGACCAGGATGAGGGCTCCAATGGTCAGCTCACCTACTCCCTCGAGGGTCCTGGCATGGGTATGTAGCCTGTCCTGGGTGCCACAATGACTTACAGGGTGGGTAGTGGCAGATTGCCTGCCTGCAGACCCCCCCACAATCCCCCAGGCTAGAAGGAAGAGGAAGGAAGGGCACAGACAGGAAGGATGTCTCAGCCAGAGCCTGATCTCCTGCCACCCTCTGCCCCTGCCAGAGGCCTTCCACGTCGACATGGACTCAGGCCTTGTGAGCACACAGCGCCCTCTGCAATCCTACGAGAGGTTCAACCTGACCGTGGTGGCCACGGATGGCGGGCAGCCCCCGCTCTGGGGCACCACCATGCTCCTGGTGGAAGTCATCGATGTCAATGACAATCGTCCAGTCTTTGTGCGGCCACCCAATGGAACAATTCTCCATATCCGGGAGGTACTTCTGCCTACCAGTGTCCATTCCCCATGACCAACCTACCTTTTCATTCAGCAGTCATGACCCAGGAGAGGGGGAAAGGGGACCCATTGTCAGGAGGGGATACTGAGGCCAGGTAGAGGAACAGACTTGCCCAGGGCCACACAGAGAAGAACCAGACAATGGTTAACAGAGTGGGCAAAAGCTCTTGAGTTCAAGTGCCACGCTCTGGTGATCTTGAACAAGTGACTTCTCTGAGTGTGTCTTCTCAGCTGTACACGGGACCCCGTGTCTTTCTCCTAAATGTTTACCAAGTTCCTGTCTCCCCATTACCCACTTCCTCCACACTTACCTCAGAATAACCCAGGGCCCTTCCGTCTGTCTGGTGTTGCTGCTGATGCTGAAGTGCAGGCAGCCCAGAGCTGGGGACAAGCAACTAGACAGCAGGAGAAGGGACTGAGGCCCTGGAATCACTCCAAGTCTTTCCTTCCTTGGTCTGAATGACCACTTAAAGACAGAGGAAGTGTTTCTTCCTCTCCTTCTCTTCCCCTCTTTCTCCTAAGCCTCCAGGGTACAAATGTTCCTTGGTGGTACACTTGGGGTATCTGACTTATTCTCTGCCTCTCACCAAACTTCAGCAAGTCTCCCCTTCTCAGAATGTCAGTGCTCCAATATGAAGAAAATTCTCCCAGGACTGGATTCTAATACGTGTGTATGTGTGTGTGTGTGTGTGTGTGTGTGTGTGTGTGTTGCGTGCGCGCATGTATGTGTATATATGTATTCATGTATACCACTATTGGGGCTTGAATTCAAGGCCTGGGTGTTGTCCCTGATCTTTTTCACTCAAGGCTAGTGCTCTACCACTTGAGCCACAGCTCTACTTCAGGCTTTTGGGTAGTTAATTAGTGATAAGAGGTTTATGCATTTTCCTGCCCTTCCTGGCTTCAAACCTTGATCCTCAAATCTCAGCCTCCTCAGTAACGAGGATTACAGGCATTAGCCATTTGCACCTAGCTTCAAAAGCCTTGTCCCTGATATGGCATCAATGGTGTCTGAGTGGGTTTCCGTCTGCTACAGATGTGGGTACTCAGCCCCCTTGACCAGCCCTGAGGAATACAGGATGTGTGCTCTGCCTTTAACTCCCACATTCCTGCCAACAACCTCTTGTCCTTTACCTTAAAGCTAACTTGTTCAATCTTATTGTAATTCATAATGCTTGTCAGCTGCTTCAGATCTTTTCTGTGGAAGGGGACAGTATAAATTAATAATCATCTAGTTCTTTTCCACACCAAAGGCCCCGTTTACTAAGTTTTCCCTTCAAGGGCTCTGTATCCAGGAAGATTCATGTCTCCGGAACAGCCCACATTTTCAAAGTAATTATCTGTTTGTCATCTCGCTTTTTATTAATTGGATGTACCTGCTCTTTGGAACTTCTGAGTGTCATGATCAATGAGATAAACAACAGAGCCATGCTGAGCCAAGAATTTTTCTAGAAGTAAAGAAACATGCTGGAGTTCTCTTGTCCTAGGCAGCCTCTGCATGGGCTGATGTCTGATCTCAGTTGGGTTTTTGGTGTCTCAGACTGAAGTCAGAGGAAGGTGAGAGATTGGGGCTCATGGCAGTCAAGTAGGCATGTCCAAGTTCCACAGTGAATTGGTAACTGGAGCCAGAAGGCCAACTAGAGCCAGGTGCCCATGTCTCCCATCTTCAGGTGCCTCATTGGCCCCATGGTGTAACCAGCATTGCTAGGATCAGGTAGTAATAGCAGAGAGAACAAGACAGACATGGGACCAAGTGTGGGGGGTGACTTGGGGAGTTCCTGAAGCCCCCACCTGCAGTGGCCCTGAAGGGATGATGGAAGCTCTATTGGTTGGTTTGGGAAGAGGGGGAGAAAACATCAGGCGTTCAGAGGGTCCAGCCACACAGGCAGGCCACCCTAAGGAACAGGAAGGAAGGAGATAATGTCCCATATGGCAGGAGAGAGGACAAGAGCTCTGTCAGAGCCTGGATTCCCTCAGAGGTCCAGATGCCTCCTCCCCACGGCCTCCTTAGGAGATCCCACTGCGCTCCAATGTGTATGAGGTCTATGCTACCGACAAGGACGAGGGCCTGAATGGAGCGGTGCGCTACAGCTTCCTGAAAACAGCCGGCAACCGGGACTGGGAGTACTTCACCATTGACCCAGTCAATGGCCTCATCCAGACCGCACAGCGCCTGGACCGCGAGAAGCAGGCAGTGTACAGTGTAAGGGCCAGGGTGCCTGGCAGGGCTGGTAGACTTTGCTCCTGGAACCACCATCAGGGGACTGTTCAAGGAAAGCATGTCTGAGGTCCTAAATACCTCACCAGCCTTTCCTCTGACCCCTCCTCTGCCTCCAGCTCATCTTGGTAGCCAGTGACCTGGGCCAGCCAGTGCCATATGAGACCATGCAGCCCCTGCAGGTGGCCTTGGAGGACATTGACGACAATGAGCCCCTCTTCGTGAGGCCTCCGGTGAGCTCCCCGATTCCCGGCATCCATCACACCTGCACAGGCATCACCGTCAGCCAATGCTTACCCACACACTCCCAGTGTACCCTGTCCCCTGATTCACATCTAGTTACTGAGTGGAAAACAAATCTGTCAGAAGCAGGTGCCAATGGCTCATGCCTGTAATCCTAGCTACACAGGAGTCTGAGATCTGAGAATCTTGGTCCAAAAGCAACTTGGGCAGACAAGAACAAGAGACTCTTATCTCCAATAAAACAGCAAAATACCAAAGTGGAGGGATCCAGCCTTGAGTAAAAAGGCTAAAGAGCACAAGGCCCTGAGTTTTAAGTCCATGCACACACACACACACACACACACACACTTACCTTCACATAAGAACAGCTATAGTACACAGTAATAAGCATCATTTCCAGGTGCCACCCAGTGATCATAAAAACAGACAAAACACCCACAATATTCTTGCATGTACACACACACATAAAGAATGAAAACTGGCTGGGATTGATTGAACTGGAATAGACAGAAATAACAGGGCTCAGGGCCACTGGTGTGGACACCATCCCAGGGATGGGATGTCCCCTAGAGATGATCCTGGGAACACACTTATTTAGACTTTCACTCAGTGAAATATCCATGTGCTCTAAACCAATGCTAAGCCATCCTGTTCATGGAGGATGTCATTGGGTGACATTTCCCCAGACATGGAGCTTAGTTAAGACATTCTACTGAGCTGGATGTTCATGTCTGAAATCCTAGCTACTCAGGAGGCTGAGATCTGAGGCCATGATTAAAAGCCAGACCAGTTAGGAATGTCTGTGAGACTCTCCAAGTTAACCACCAAAAAGCTGGAAGTGGAGCTGTGGCTCAAGTGGTAGCCTTGAGCAAGAAAGCTAAGAGACAGCACCTAGGCTGTGAGTTCAAGCCTTAGTACTGGTACAAAAAAGGTGGGGGGGGGGGGGCGGAGCAGGGCTGGGAATGTGGCTCAGTGGTAGAGTGCTTGCCTAGCATGCATGAAACCCTGGGTTCAATTCTTCAATAGCACATAAACAGAAAAGGCCAGAAGTGCTGTGGCTCAAGTGCTAGCCTTGAGAAAAAGAAGCTCAGGGACAGTGCCCAGGCCCTGAGTTCAAGCCCCCAGGACTGGAAAATAAAGTTGCCCTGTGAGGCCTTGGCAGTAAAATCCCCTTCACCCCCAAAGTCATCCCTTAGGGTCCTCTTGGCTAGGTTGGAAGCCCTGGCCTCCTGTCACAATCTTCTCCCCCTGCAGAAAGGCAGCCCCCAGTACCAGCTGCTGACCATTCCTGAGCACTCACCCCGTGGCACCCTCGTGGGCAACGTGACAGGCGCTGTGGATGCAGACGAGGGCTCCAACGCTATTGTATACTATTTCATAGCAGGTGGGGCCTGACACAGCCAGCTCTTCCTGGACCAGGGGGCTGGAGAGGGCCCACATTTGCCCTGCCTGCTCTACCCCTCACCCTGTGCCCTGTCCACCTACAGCTGGTAATGAGGCAAAGAACTTCCATCTGCAGCCCGATGGGCGACTCCTAGTGTTGCGGGACCTGGATCGGGAGCAGGAAGCAGTCTTCTCCTTCATCGTCAAGGCCTCCAGCAACCGCAGCTGGACACTGCCCCGCAGCTCCTCCCCAGCCCTGGACCTGGTGGCTGACCTCACCCTGCAGGAGGTGCGCGTGGTGCTAGAGGATATCAACGACCAGCCACCACGCTTCACCAAAGCTGAGTACACCGCAGGTGCGGGGCCAGGGGCCTGGGCTTGGGTGTGGCTGGCCCCTTCCCTGCCACTTAACACCACCTTCCTTGCTCCCATAGGGGTGGCCACTGACGCCAAGGTGGGCTCAGAATTGATCCAGGTGCTGGCCCTGGATGCAGACATCGGCAACAACAGCCTGGTCTTCTATGGCATTCTGGCCATCCACTACTTCCGGGCCCTTGCCAATGACTCTGAGGATGTGGGCCAAGTCTTCACCATGGGTAGGAACCTGGCCACACATGGGTGGCTTCCAGCCGAGATCTCTCTGTCACTTTATGGACTGTCATCTGGAGGAGATGGGAATCCCAGGGCTGATGTGAGCCCTTCTGCTCACCTACTTATCCATCTTCCATTCTCCAAGTACCACATCTACCCCCTGCTACTTATTTTAGTTTTCACTCAGCTTTTCCAGCTCACAGCTGGTACTCTACCACCTGAGTCATGCCTCCAGTCCAACTTTTTTGTTGGTCCTGAGGCTTGAATTCAGGGGTCTACTACTTTGAGCCACACATGGCTCCACTTCCTGTTTTCTGGTAGTTAACTGGTTATAAGAATCTCATGGACTTTCCTGCCCTGGCTGGCTTTGAACTGCAATCCTCAGATCTCAGCCTCCTTAGTAAATAGGATTACAGGCATGAACCACTAGCACCTGATTCAGTCCAGCTTTTTTTGCTGGTTAATTAAAGAAACTATACTTAGGGGCTGGGAAGGTGGCTCAGTGGTAGAGCGCTTGCCTTGCATGCCTGAGGCCCTGGGTTCGATTCCTCAGCACCACATAAGCAAAAAGAAAAAAGCCGGAAGTGGCGCTGTGACTCAAATGGTAGAGTGCTAGCCGTGAGCTGAAGAGCTAAGGGACAGCGCCCAGGCCTAGAGTTGAGGCCCCACAACCAGTATAAAATAAAAAAAATAAAATAAATTAAAAAAAAAAAAGATACTATACTTGGGCTAGAGAATTTCTACTCCGGCTGGCTTTGAACCTCAATCCTCAGATCTCATCCTCCTGAGTAATTAGGATTCATTCAAGCATGGTGCTAGGCACTGTGAGCTGGAATTCAAGGAGCACTTCAACTTCGGCATATGTACTTTGGCTTGATCATTTGCCTATGTGCCTCACTGAGGCTCGGGGGCAGATCTAGAAGGACCCTCTGTCCTATTACCATCTCCCTCTTCTCTCTACCAACTCCTTGTCTGTGTGCCAGGACAGAATGTCAGAGAGACTCCTGGCTGCAGAGATCTTCTAGACCTGATCTAACTCCTCAGCCTCCTGCTCCTTTTTTTTTTTATTTTAATCAGTCATAGGACTGTCCCTGAGCATTTTCACTAGAAGCTCAAAACCACAGGTCCACTTCCAGTTTTCTGGTGGAGAAGAGTATCTCCCAGACTATCCTGCCCAAGCTGGCTTGGAAACCATGATCCTCAGATCTCAGCTTCCAGAGTAGCTAGGATGACAGGCATGAGCCAACAGCGCCCGCCTTCCCTCTGCCCCTCTTAAGGCCCTGTGTCCAGCCAGGCTGAACAGCCTCCCATTTGCTCCTTCAGACCCCTGGGCCCCTCCCTTCACAGACCCTCTCTCTATTTTCATCTGCCCTCCATCCTTCAAGGTCTAGTCCATGTGCCAGCTCCTCCAGTCTGCACTTGCACCACTCTCAGTCCAATTATCAAAGGATCAGAGGCTAAGTAGCTTGGCTGAAGGTCATCCAAAGCTAAAAGTGGCATATTTTGAATCCAGGTCTATTGTCTTTTTAGAGATGTCTACCTTGTACCTTCAGTGATGACTGAAGGTACTGTGTATGAGGGGTCTGAACTACTTGTATCCAGTACATGAGAGGGACACTAAGGGAGCTCAGAAATGGCCGTGGCACCCAGCAAGGGACATCAGAGTTATACACTTACCTCTGTATTAGTTCAATCTACAATTTTGTTTAATAAGCAGATTGTTTACAAACTTGGCAGTTGTTTTGTTTGTTTTTTTATTTTTATTTTTTTGGGTCCGGTCGTGGGGCCTGAACTCTGGGCCTGGGCGCTGTCCCTCAGCTCTTCAGCTCAAGGCTAGCACTCTACCACTTGAGCCACAGCACCACTTCCGGCTTTTTGCTTATGTGGTGCTGGGGAATCGAACCCAGAGCCTCATGTCTGTTTTGTTTTTTAAGGGATTCACATAATTGAAACACCTAGCTCCTCTAGGAAAAGCAAGTTGTGGCAGGGTGACAAGGTAGCAGCCAAGACCTGCATGGCTGTCCCTTCAGATGGACAGTCCCTCCCTCCCCCTCCAGCTCTTACCTTTGCTCCCTGTGGGGCATCTGTGCTGCCTACTCAGGTAGGCCCTAAGCCCTAGGCCCTCCCTTGGGGTGCTCAGGAATGCTGAGTGCTGAAAGTTGAATTAGGCCTCAACCTTGGGTGTTTCCCACAGGGAGTGTGGATGGGATCTTGCGCACCTTTGACCTCTTCATGGCCTACAGCCCAGGCTACTTCGTGGTGGACATTGTGGCCCGAGACCTGGCAGGCCACAATGATACAGCCATCATTGGCATCTACATCCTGAGGGACGACCAGCGTGTCAAGATTGTCATCAATGAAATCCCTGACCGTGTGCGTGGCTTTGAGGAGGAGTTCATCCGCCTGCTCTCCAACATCACTGGAGCCATTGTCAACACAGATGACGTGCAGGTACCCAGGGGCCCACTTTGGGCTAGGGGCAGAGAGAGTAAAAAGGAAGCCTGACAGAACAGGCACTTGGAAAGGGGCTATGTGCCTCCTGGGTCATTTCCTAGCAGCATGGCTTTGAGTAAAGTTCCTCCAGATCTCTGGGCCTGTTTCCCCCTAACTAAAATGGGACTACTAATGGTCACACCTGCTCTGTTGGGCAATGTGTACTATGCTTTGACCTTAGCGATATCTGGTAGTGATAGGTCATGACAGGGTAGGACAGAAGGGCTCCTGGAAGAAGCTGCTCCTCCCCTCCCCACCTCACCCCTACTGTAGTGACCACACCCCATAAAGATTCCTCTCCTCTAGTTCCATGTGGACCAGAAGGGCCGGGTTAACTTTGCCCAGACAGAGCTGCTCATCCATGTGGTGAACCGTGACACTAACCGTATCCTTGACGTTGACCGGTAAGTGCTGGCTCTTTGCCTCATCTTGTCTCCCTCCCCACCTGCCCTGGAATCAGGAGGCACAAACAACATCAGGCCCACTGTGTAGGGGCTCCTCTTAAGAGGCAGGCAGGGTTGGAGGAGAGAACATGGTATGGGCCATTTTAGCTCTCTGAGCCTATCTGGTCTCTAAAATGGTATCTGCCACCTGTCGCGAGAGTAGCCCAGGCCCCTCATGCAAGTCTGAGGACCAGTGAGGTGCCAAGCTCTCTTAGGCAGGCAGGCAGGCTTTCCTCTCACAAGACCAGATGGTGAATCTAGGGGCTAGAGACTAGAACATAGCAGGCTATGTTGGGGGTAGTGGGGGCGGGGGGTGGGGGAAGAGGGTGTGACTGTGGTTGAGCCAGAGCCGAGCTGCTAGCCCTTCATCCAGAGTGATCCAGATGATAGATGAGAACAAAGAACAGCTGAGGAACCTTTTCCGGAACTACAATGTCCTGGACGTGCAGCCTGCCATCTCAGTCCGGCTGCCGGATGATATGTCTGCCCTGCAGGTACCAGGATTGCCCCTACTGCATTCCCCCATAGCTTGGGCAGGCTCTACCTCAGAGCCCATCTGCTTAAGCCTGGCCTACTTTTTCCTGCAGATGGCAATCATCGTTCTGGCCATCCTCCTCTTCCTGGCAGCCATGCTCTTCATCCTCATGAACTGGTACTACAGGACCGTGTGAGTATGCCCACTCCTGCCCAGAGCTAGATGACCACCCTGCTCCTGGATGCTTGGGGGTAGGGAGAGATTTTTAGGGCTAAGCGTCTATGATTCAAGCCCAACATCCCTCATGGAGGTCTCTGTTTCTCTGCAGACATAAAAGGAAGCTCAAGGCCATTGTAGCTGGCTCAGCAGGTGAGTGAAGGCTATGATAGACCAGGAAAGGAAAGGCAGGGGCTCCTCCCACTCTACCTTTACACTCTCCCTGCAGGGAACCGTGGCTTCATTGACATTATGGACATGCCCAACACCAATAAGTACTCCTTCGATGGGTGAGTGGGGCCCTGAGTCTCATTAGTGGAAGCTCTGCTGGGACCCTCCTAGGAAAGAGCTCCTTGCAGCCTGGGATGCGAGCGCCCCCTGGTGGGTTGTCCGCCACCTCCCACCCTTGGAACCTCCAAGAGGTTGGCTCTCCAACCTCTTCCCACTTCCCAACTGCAGAGCCAACCCAGTGTGGTTGGACCCCTTCTGCCGGAACTTGGAGTTGGCCGCCCAGGCTGAACACGAGGATGACCTGCCCGAGAACCTGAGTGAGATTGCAGACTTGTGGAACAGCCCCACCCGCACCCATGTGAGCCCAGGGCAGTGGGTGGACTGAGGGACAAAGGCTCCCCTTTGGCCAAGGAGCTGGGTTCTCGGAAGGATTGTTGTTCCCTACCCGGTGGTGTGTACATAAGTGTCTACCACTGTTCCGGTTAATATCCCCTCTTCCCAGGGAACGTTTGGCCGTGAGCCAGCAGCAGTCAAGCCTGATGATGACAGGTACCTGCGGGCAGCAATCCAAGAGTATGACAACATTGCCAAGCTGGGCCAGATCATTCGCGAGGGACCCATCAAGGTGAGCCCTTCCTGCAGTCACCTACACCCAGATCCTGACTGACACTGAACCCCATTCACAGATACAAGGAGGTACAAACTCCAGGCTGTTAGATCTCCCTTCCATGGGGGGAGAGCACCAGGGTGAATGAGCTGTAACCTGAGGTGGTCTAAGTTCAGGCATAAGCCGACATAGACTCTGGCTGGCCAGTCAGCAGGCCTGGCTCCCAGCCTCTGCACAAGGACTAGACACTATGCACCTGACTCCCACAGGGAGCGAGCGTGGGCCTGGGACAGACTCGGTGGGGGTTAACCCTCTCCCTCCTCCAGGGATCGCTGCTGAAGGTGGTCCTGGAGGATTACCTGCGGCTCAAAAAGCTCTTTGCACAGCGGATGGTGCAAAAAGCCTCCTCCTGCCACTCTTCCATCTCCGAGGTAGCGAGGTAGCCAGGGGTGGGTGGGAGCTGTGTGCTGTGCCCCACTCCTGGGGATGCTGTTGCTCTGCCATCCTTCTCTGTCTATAGAGCCCAACAGCCATGGCCAAAGCCCTTCTTAGGTGGTAGGTGGGTCTAGGAAATCAGGAGGTTCTGACTTCTGGCCCCAGGATTTTCCCCAGGGATGGTGGGCTCAGAGGCAGTTTCTGAGTCCAGAAACTCCAAGCTATCTTTGATGAATGGTTTACTTTTAAGGAAGTGGTGAAGGACCAACCAGGCCTACATGTGTAGGCAAGGCAGTTGTGTCAACATTTACACAGTGACTTAAAAACTGATTGCCTAAGCTGGGCACAGGTGGCTCACATCTATAATCCTACTCTAGAAGCTGTGATCTGAGGATCACAGTTCAAAGCCAGTTCAGGCCAGAAAGTCCATGAGACTCTTATCTCCAATTAACTACCAGAAAACAGGAAGTGGCACTGTGGATCAAAGTTGTAGAGCACTAGCTTTGAGCAGAAAAGCACCCTGGTCCTGAGTTCAAGCCCCACAACTTCGGGCTGGGAAGGTGGCTCAGTGGAAGAGCGCTTGCCTTGCATGCCTGAGGCCCTGGGTTCGATTCCTCAGCACCACATAAGCAAAAAGAGAAAAAACAAGCCAGAAGTGGTGCTGTGGCTCAAGTGGTAGAGCACTAGCCTTGAGCTGAAGAGCTGAGGGCAGTGCTCAGGCCCAGAGTTCAAGCCCCACGACCAGACCCAAAAAAAAAAAAACAAAAAAAAAAAAAACACTTGATTTCCTCTGGGTACACAATGTCAACTGGAACTGCCAAACACAGGGCACAAAGGGCCATCTGAGTCATATCCACACCCTATGTATCTCTACCTGGCTGGAACTGAGTTACTCATAGGGCTGGGGCATGGTCCCAACCAAACCCAAAACTATCATACTTTTTAAGTCAACTTGGTGACAGACCTTTTTTCACAGGACATGTTCCTGAGGTCACAATGACACCTTAAATATCCATGGGCCCCATCCCTCTTCAGCAGCACCTTAAGAGGCTAACAGCCTGTACAGGCAGGTTCCTTTTGTGCTAAGAATAGAAACCTATCTGATGGGACCCTGGGGCCATTCTGCTCACACTTGGGACATGGCCTTGGGCTGGGAGGTATGGGGTACCCTGAGCCACAGGGGTTCCTGGCCTCTTGCAGCTGATTCAGACTGATCTGGAAGAGGAACCTGTGGACTGCAGCCCAAACCAGGGCAGCCTGCGCTTCCGCCACAAACCACCTATGGAACTCAAGGGGCCAGATGGGATTCATGTGGTACACGGCAGCACCGGCACACTGCTAGCCACTGACCTCAGCAGCCTACCTGAGGATGACCAGAAGGGTCTGGGTCGCTCACTGGAGACGCTGACAGCCACTGAGGCCACCGCATTGGAGCGCAATGCCCGTACAGAGTCCGCCAAATCCACACCTCTGCACAAGCTCCGAGATGTGATTATGGAGAGCCCCCTGGAGATCACGGAGCTGTGACTGATAGGTGCCTCACTGGCAGGAGGTGCTCAACCCCAGGGCGGGAGCAAGGCCAAGCCAGCTCTGCATGGACCACCTTGGTTTGGCCCTGGCAACCTGCACAACTGTTGAGACTTTTGCCAGACTGTCATTCACCATCTGATCTCTACCTTCATAAGATTTGTTATTTTTTTAAGAAAACCAAACAAAATACTAAGCATCTAAGGATGAGGTAAGGAGGGTCACTGGGGGCTCAGGAGACTGAGGACCAGCTGCTGGGCTAAAGAGGGCACACAGGCCCTTGTTCCTCCTTCCACTCCACCCTGGCAAGTCCCAATCACCAAAAGGCAGGACCCTAGCACAGGAACAAGGCCCAGGCTGGCACCCCTAATGGCCAGCCAATGACTTTGAGGCCAGCTGTGCTATCACCTGTCTGAACACCCAGGTGGAGGCAGTGAATGGTCCCTGCCCTCCACATAGACAAGGTCAAGGTCAACATTCCATTTCACTGGTTTCTCCAATGTGCCCAGCTGTGAGATATGTGACTGATGGAAACTTCCCGGGTTTTGAATGTAGAGTGTTTGTGTGCTCTTTTTCCAAATTAAGTTATTCCCTCACTGTTTCCCCTGGTTTTAACTGATTCTCACTGGAAGTTTCTAGAATGGTCTGTTTAAAAAAGAACTCAAGGAACTGGAAATATACTGGCTCTGGAGAAGTACCATGCATGTACTGAGGTTACGGGGACCACAAAAGGATGAAAATAGGCAGGTTCTCCTACTGCAAGACAGTTAGGTGGCCTTTTACCCATTGTACTTTCTGCTTTTGGCCAAGAGGGGCCCTTGGAACTACTAGATGTGTGAAGGGGTCACGGGCTCAGAGCCCACACTGATTCCTGACAGAAACTCAAGACCCAAATCTGTTAACAGAACTTTATTGTTAAATCACAGAAACTTTAGTAGTGCAAGACAAATGAAAATCACTAAGTCTACATAACAGCAAATGGCCATCTTGGTGGCTCAGCTTGCAGTCTCCTGGCAATCAGTGGTGGCAGGCAAAAAGCCCCAGACAGTACCACTCTGCACACTGCGGTAAACCCTCTGCTTGTTGGCCACACTGACTTGAAAAGGGCCAAAAAAAACTGAAGCAGGACAGCAGCATCCAGACAGGCACGCAGGCAGCAGCCACCAGGGATCCCACATGAGAGCCAGAGTACATTCGGTACACAGGTACACTTCCCACAGAACCCCAAACAAGGCATGGACAGGAAAAAGCAGACTCAAGGGTGCTTCCAAAATACAGTGGGGGATGAATGACATTGTCTTAAAGACTGCCTGCTCTTCTGGCTCTCACCAGCACTGGAAATGCCCTCCCTGCTCCCAGCAGGCGCATGCAAGGGCAGCTAGAGACCTTGGGGCCCAGTACCTCATCCTCTGGCAGACAGGGAACACTGAAGCAGCTGTTTGTGGGCTGCCAGCACGTTCCACAAGACAGCAATGCTATTGGGGGGAAGGGTGTAAGGACTTTTTTTTTTTGGTAAAGTCAAATGGATATTTGTGCGTTCACTACCCCACATACACAAGTAGAAAAGGTTACAGTTTCTGTGAGATGGAAAATTTTAATTCCACACGTGGCGTTTGCAATGGTCCACAGCCTGAGAGGAGAAAGAAAACTGTTTAGGCCTCACACAAGCTAAACACCTAACACCTAAAAGTGGGACCCAGCATCTTCTGAGTACCCAATACAGTATCTCACTTAGGAGTAGGATATAGAGATGCATACTATAATCCCAGCACTTGGTAGTTTAAAGCCAGCCAGACTACATGGTGAAACTCTCTCCAATAAGGGGGAGGGAAACTAGGTGCTGGTGGCTCACACCTGTAATCCTAGCTACTCAGGAGGCTGAGATCTGAGGATCACAGTTCAAAGCCAGCTGGGGCAGCAAAGTCCATCAGACTCTATCTATAATTAACCACCAGAAAACCAGAAGTGGCACTGTGGCTCAAAGTGGCAGAGTGCTTGCCTTGAGCTGAAGAGCTAAGGGAGAGCGCCCAGGCCCAGAGTTCAAGCCCCATGACCAACAAAAAAAAGGAGGGTGGGGGCTGAAGTCCTAGCTCAAATGGTAGCTAGAGTACTTGCCCAGCATGCGTGAGTCCTGGGACCAATCTCCAGTATTACCAAGAACCTGTGGTCATTAGATCTTTGAGGACTCTTACGAGACCAAAGCGGCATGGGTAAAAGTCCTTTACTCTTTAGCAGATGAACACCACAGTAGCTTCAGGACCCATGCCCTGGCTAGAGAGGGACGCACAGGCACATTTTTCTCAGCAGCAGAAACCAGTTCCAGGGCTGGCCCACTGCAGGGTAGGGATAATGGGTCAGGCGAGAGCCTGGCTGGAGGAAGGAGACAGGCCAGAGTAGGGACCTCTCTGCCTCTCCCTACAGTAGCCCACAGTGACTAATCAGTATGTGACATGGTCACAAGAACCCCAGGGAGGAAGAGAAAACTGCATAAAGGAACATTAAACAATGAGGTCAGACCCAACATCCCTATCCAGGGAAGCAGCCTGGCTAGCACTGGCAGCCACCATCTAGGACAGTGCCATGGCCCCTGCCCCTGCCCCTGCCCCTGCCTAGGATGGATGGGCCAGGGCTATTTCAATTTCTAGGCCCCAGGGCAAATGTGTTGCTAAGGCACAAGAAACTGCAATGGTCTAGGCAATTAAGTCCCACAGGCCTTGTCCACACACCCTGTCACAATAGGCCAACAACAGAGAAGCTTCACACTGAAGAATATCCTTCACCCCCTCTCTCCAGACGGCTCAGCTGGTAGAGCCCTTGCCTGGCCCCAAGTATCAATCCTCAGTTTAAAAAAAATGCCAGGCATCAGTGGCTCATGCCTGTCATCCTAGCTACTCAGGAGGCTGAGATCTGAGGATCTCAGTTCAAAGCCAACCCAGGCAGGAAAGTCCGTGAGACTCTCATCTCTAATAAAATACCAATCGAAGTGGTGTTGTGGCTAAGGTGGTACTGCTTGCCTTGAACTGAAGAGCTGAGGGACAGCGCCCAGGCCAAGAGTTCAAACCCCAAGACAAAAAAAATGTGGGCAGGTGGCTCAGTGGTAGAGCACTTGCCTTGCATGCATGAGGCCCCGGGTTCGATTCCTCAGCACCACATAAGCAAAAAGAAAAAAGCCAGACATGGCGCTGTGGCTCAAGTGGTAGAGCGCTAGCCTTGAGCTGAAGAACTGAGGGACAGCGCCCAGGCCCAGGCCCACGACTGGACTCAAAAAAAAAAAAAAAAAAAATGTGAGAACTGGCATTGTGGCTCAAAGTCGTAGAGCGCTAGCCTTGAACAAAAAGAGCTTATAGACAGTGTCCAGGCCCAGAGTTCAAGCCCCATGACTGACCAAAAAAAAATTGAAACAAGAGCATGCTGGTAGCTCATGCTTGTAATTCTACCTATTCAGGAGGCTGCACTCTCAGGATTGCAGTTTAAAGCCAGCTCATGAGACACTTACCTCCACATAACTACCAAAAAGCCAGAAATTGAATTGTGGCTCAAAGTGGTAGAGTGCTAGCCTGGAGCATAAAAAGCTCAGAGTATGCCCAGGTGCTAAGTTCAGGTCTCAGATCTGGCACACACGTGTGTGTGCACACACACACACACACACAGAGACCATCGTTAGCCCTACCTTAATTGGGAAACCCTGAAGACCCACCTGCCTCCCTGGGTTTTCATCCCACAAAAGCAGGCAGAGAACTGAGGTCCCTACAAGACAGGGTCCTGAGCAAGCCATCCTGCTGAGGACAGGCTGCAGCCTATGTGCAGGTACTTACATTGCACTGGGCCGCCGTCTCCATGTTCTGGCACCAGTAGCCAGGACCCCAGACACATTTCTCAGTTCCCAAAAGAAGCTTACGAGCAGAGGAGCAGGCTCCGATTTTCTGTGTAAAAAAGGATAAAGATAAATGAAGGAGTCACAAGTAGAACTCTGTCCCTGTCAGGACAGAGTGAGCACTTCCAGAAGCAGGTGGAATCAGTCTTCTGACTACCAGGGGTAGAGAGAACAGTTGTTCTCTGTCCTAACTCTGCCAAGTGTGAGAGGAACCTTCCAGTCCATGCAGACCCCCAGGTTACAACTGCCTGAAGGAGCTAGGCTGCCCAGGGAGGCTTACTGTGCACACGAAGGAAGGATCCATGACCTCCACAAGGATCTCCACCAGCACAGGCTCATACTCGGTCACGAACTCATCACACTGCCAAATGAACATGGGACACAGGTCAGGACATGCACACAGCCATACAAGGCCAACAGGTGCCCAGCATACTCCTCTATCATGGTCCCTGAGGTTCCTCACCAGGGATCCCTGGGGGCTATATTCCCAGATATCCTTCTACCCACATGGCCCCCTAGCCCAATTCTTTTCCTTCCATAGCTCCATGTGAGCCAGGTCAACTCTGGGCAAAAGCTACCTGACTCCAGGCCTGGGAAAGAAGCAGCCATCTGTCCTCCCCATATTTCACAGCAGTGCACAACAGCTACAATCCGTACCTGGTTCTTGTAGGGGTCTGGCAGAAAGCTGCAGCCCTTCTCTAGTGCAGCCAGGATCTCCTCCTTGGTGCTGTTTTTCTCTAGGTTGTGCTCCAAATAGCTGATCAGCTTCTTGCACACCTCGCAGAAGCCCCCTTTCTTTAGTTGAGTCACACGTGCTGTAAAAAAGGGCACAGGGCTCAGTACTGGCAGGGTCCCAAGAAGGCTGCCCCTTACTGTACTCTGGGCTCACCAGGTGATGCAGACAGTTTGGGCAGCTTAGGTGGCTGGGGCAGCCCTAGTCGACCAATCTTCCCCATCCGCTCCTTGTCAGAGGAACAGAGGCTGAGTTCCTGGCACACCAACTCGGGGCTTATCTCATGTTCCAGGATTGACCAGACAGAGGGACCATACACATCCACCATCTCATGGCACACATTGGACACAGTAGCAGGCAATAGGGAGCACGTAACATTCAAGCTTTTGAAGACTTCCTCCTGAAACACACACAAAAAGGAGCATGTAAGATGGGAGGGTAAGTATGGAAAAGATTCTAAAAACACCAGGAAACCATCCCTCACTCTATACATAGCACTGAAAACCAGGGGAGGGTTGTGGCTAAGTGGTAGAGCTCTTGCCCAGCACATGGTTTCGATCCCCAATCTACCCAAAAAGAAAAAAACAGCAAGGGTCATCCCAACCCTCCTGCTTCCACACGATTCCCTGGGGTGGGGTGGGTGGGGGGTGAGGACAGGCCTTCCTCTGAGGACAACATACCTCAGTGATGTTGTTCTCAATCAACTTGTCCATCTGCTTCACCACAAATTCACAAGCCTTGCAGAATACACCAGCCTGGGCCTGGATCAGCTCCTCCTATGAGGATGGGGTGGGGCAGTTTAATATTGGGACTGGTATGTTAGTAGGCTAAGGGCCACTGCCCAGTGAATTCACAATGACATACAGCTTCCTTTGGGTGTGATTTCCAACTTCATTACACAGTGGAAGGTCCATCCCTTTTTCCAGTCTTCCATTATCACCACTTCTCTTGCCCCTCCCACACAGAGAGAGAGAGAGAGAGAGAGAAAGAAAGAAAGAAAGAAAAGAAAAGAAAGAGGAGGAATTCCTACCTCAGGCCCTCCCTACCATGAAAGGATGACCACATGCATCCAGTTATAATCATTTGGTCATTCCATGTTGGAATTGGGAAGGTGGACAGTGAAGCAGGACCAGAACCAGAATGAGAAATTCAGTATCTATCTACTTCCTCTATTTCTTTTTTGTTTGTTTGAACTCAGGACCTGGAGCTTGCTAGGCTGGTGTTCTACCACTTGAGCCACATCTCCAGCTCAGTATCTACTTTTTTTTAAGTCAGGGGTTTGCTCTGGACTTTCCAAAGTCTCATTAACATCTGAGATTGTTACTCTAGATCCTCCCTTAATAAAGCAATCAGGTTGAGGAAAACCTTCTGTAAAGCCAAGCATTCTCTACCTCCACTAACCAGCACAACAGGTCCAGCTCCATGTGCCCATCAAGCACTTGAAATGTGGCTGTGTCACCAAGGATCTCAAGTTTTAATACTGCTTAACTTAAATTGATGTAGTCACACATGACTAAGAAATACAACCATGAACTGGATGAGCAGGGTGGCACCTCCTGAGGGGAGAAGGCCCTGCTTCCTGACTTTAGGTACACAACCCTACCTGTGGCCACACATACTAAGCAGAGGAGCAAGCACACAGGGAGACAGCTGATAGTCCGATGCAAAGGACATTCTTGAAGCATATGTATTTCATGTGTAGTGTGAGCCAGGGCCTCCTGAGAAGGCAGAATGCCTTCATTTACTCCCCACAACCCTAGGACAGTGCCTGGCCCAAAAAGGTACTAAACACAGGTCTATTACAGAATAGAGTAGATCTTTACCAAAAGGGGTGCTAAGGGAACAAATCTACAAGCACAAAAAGGCACAGGTCCATTGAGACTTCCAGCCCTGGGGAGAACATCCTGGGTCTGTCCTGTGGCTACAGAAGCCAAAGGACTCTGGAAAGGGAAAAGGGGAGGATGGAGTTGGGCACTGAAATAAGTTTGCTCCCCTCAGAACTAGGGCATGTTAACTGTAAAACAGCTGGGGAGGGGGCTGTGTCATTACCAGGAAATATCCATTCTATACCTAGAGTAATCGCAAACACAAAATGTGTGAGCTCCAACAACAGTGTCAAGCAGAGTGTCACACAATCCCCACCAGTACACAATGGCACACGTACCTCAACAGTCTCCACCAGTTCCAGGGCAGGAAGGACACTCTCAGCAGCCACTTTGGCAGGGATCAATGTCTGCATGGGCACTGCCTTGACCTCATCACAGAAGCCAACCAGTACACAAATCTCCTTGGGTTGCTGAAAAGAGCACAGAACCATCAGACACAGCCTGCTCCTACTGCCTCAGGCCTCTGGCTAGACAGGGTACAGAGCACCCTGACCAGTGTCAAGGCTACCTCCTCCCACCCACTGGCAGGGACTCTATAGATTCAACTTAAAAGGGCTGGTGTCCAAAAGCAGGTTACATGCGCCAGCTCCATCTGGAGAAGGTAGCCTTCAGGCAGAGCCAAGAGTGGCCATGGCTGCTCTAACCAAGAACAGAATTTCTAGCACCTTTTAACACCCCCTCCCCCCAGACACTCAAGCTGCTCAGCTCATTCTGTTAAAGTAAACTTAAGGGGACCTACTGTATACATAAACAGAAAGCCCAAGGCAATAGAAATACAACCATATTGGATCTTTTGGTGGTAAAGCCATTTAAAATTATGTATTATGGGGAAAATGCTGGCTTTTTTTCTATAAGCCACATTCAGTGTTCACAACTATACATATGAAAGCCCAACCTCTAACTCATGAATCATCTCAGTTCACAAGGTCTTCAAACTGATGCCCTCTGCTGTCTAGACAGCCCCATCACAGAGGATGAGAGCTAGGACATATGCATAGTATGAATGCAGGCCTGGAAGTCTGCCTCCCTCCAACAAGCTTGCAAGGAGCATAGCAGGCCTGTCTGGAGGCAGGCAAGCTAGACCATGGCAGTATCTGCCTTGTGCCACCAAAGAAGGCTAGAACAGTTAAGACTGGGGTGCAGGGAAAGGGGCATCCTGTCTTTAGCACACTTTAAAATATGGAGAAGAATTGGAATGAGGCTAAAGATACAGCAAGATTTTTAGAAAAAAAAGATGCCAAGGATTCAGGAGGCTTTGTTCTGACTCCCTGAAGTGGCCTAGGTTAAAAACCAGACATTTCAAGTTCTCTCCCATGAGACCTCAAAACCCAGATAGATTCCAACTCAAAAGGAGCTCAAAAAAAACTCTGATGGCTCAGCCAGTATGGACTGAGGTATGGTCCCCACAGAGTGCCAGCCACTGTAGTTCCAGATCCCAAAGGAGCCATCACCCAGAGAGCGGAAGCTACAATCAAGAGACTGTTTCCAGTTCTCTGGATCAGCAGCCATAATCTGCAGGCTGTCTGCATCCAGTTTGCTCATGCAGCAGAAGCATTTCTGGAGTTACAAACCCAGCAATGATGTCATGCACTGCCCACACACATTATGACAGACACAAGGTGCTGTACTGAGAGCCAGGCCTCCACTGGAAGAAGCTGAACTGCCTCGGGGCCACCTGGGTCCCCATTCTCACTAGTGATCCAAACATGGGCTTGCATGTGAACAGAGGACCAGGCTCTGCTGACTTCTATTTGCCCCTCTCAGAAGGGGAGAAGGGCCCCTGATACCTAAGTGCTAGATCTTAAGGGAAGGATGCCTAGACCAAGGGGAACCTTTGCCTTTCACAATCATTCCTTGTATCTGTCAGAGATGACCATGCCAGACACCACCCCCAAAAAAAGAAAGAAAAAAAAAAGCAGATAACTAGAAGCAGCAAATCACTACAAGCAAATTCTCTGTAACATACCTGATCCTGCTGTTCAACAAAAAAACAGGAAATCGGAGGTGAAAATAAAGAGAAAGGAAAGGACACAACAGTTAAGAAAAATTAAAACAGTCAGTTAACCAGGTGTACAGATGTCACAAAGTCTAAGGGACACCCTGGCAGTCTGCTGGCAGCAACCTACCTTGCTCCTCTAGCTTGCGGTGCCCCAAAAGCCACTTGGGCCCTCAAGGGGTAGGTAGACCCCACTGCCCAACTAGTGTGTACACTATCCCTACATCCAGCACTAAACCATGATCAGAAATTGCAGTGATGCCAGCCCTGAAGCCTAATCCCTACCCAACCTTCCCAAAGCACAGTCATGGGGCTGCCACAGCAAATCATTCTCCACTGCCCTCCATCTTGTGTTTCCATTAGGAATAGCAGCTTTGGTGAGCCTCACTAAGGGAAGCCAGGGATGGGTACAGATAAGTGGCTATGAGGACATTCATCACTCCAAGGGCAAACCTGAAAACAGCATCAACACTTAGCCAGCAGGGACTGGTCACATTCCATGGACAAGAACTTTTTAGGGGAATATGCAATTAAAGTACAAACTCATACATAAATAAAGGCTCCCATTGATGGGTTTTTGAAACCCCAAATGATTTCTTAAGTAGCAAATATTATCAGTAGTTATCAAAAACTTGCTACACAGTATACTACGATAAGAAAAATTTTAAGTTAGTTCTGAAGAAGCACTTCACTAAGTCACTTCACACCAAAGGCTTCTTTCTACCTGCTTCAGGTGCATGTCTTTGTTAACAGACTTTACATGTTTTTACAAGGCAGAGCATGAGCGATAGTCCCAAATAAGCCACCGCTCCAGGAAAGTCTACTAGAACAGGCAAAGGTAACTCTTGCCAGGCTCTGCAGACCATTAGGCCTAGGTTGCTGAGGAAGCACGAAGTGGGGCTACTGGGTTCCAACAAAACTATCTACAAAGCAGGTAGGTAGTAAGCTTTGTAAACCTCTATGAAAGACTGACTCAAGCCCATCAGTGCCTGTGCAGCCAATCAGAACATGAGACCAGCATACCCTACCGCTCCAGTCCCACAGGGTAGATCTGAGGAAGCCAGTGCCTGCGGATCAGCCAGTTCCAACTCCTGTGACCTTTTACCCAACCTCTCACAAGGGCCTGAAGGACATCTGCTGCCCAGATGTCAAGGCATGAGCTGGGGCTCAAACAGCCACTACAGTTTACAGTTGACCTTGCTACAGAGCACAGAGCCAGCTTTGCCAGGCTGGGTCCCTCTTTCCCCATCCCAAACACAGGCTGCCCCACAGCAATTCCCCTGCCTGGCATGGTGACAGGGCAGACTACTTCTACAGGCCCTAGCGTTAATAGCCAGACACTAGCAATCTGATAGCACGTGCACAGGCAAACAGGTCCCAGGCCACCACAGGGCAGACCCAGGATCAGCTGGGAGGGGGGGAAGGGGGGGAGGGAGAGGGAGGGGGAGGGGGGGCCAGATTTGTCCAACTCAATACTCTTAAGGTAAAAAGGGGAAGCTAAAACATGTAACATTTTAAATGCCTGGAAACACTTCAAACCCAAATGCTAACAAGGGTCTTCGCTACTACCTACCATATGCATCATCATCTGGATAGCAATTTCAGAGTACTGGTTGACATAGTTCTTGCACTGGAAGGACAGAAACAGGCTGAGTTAAATTTATTACTACAACAAAGCTTTCAACCTGCATTTTCAATAAGGCGTGTGCGTGACTGACAAGCAAATGCCCTAGGGTAGAATGGGTATGTGTTTTGGTCAGATAAAATAGTGATTTGGCTATTCTTCCTTCCATAAAAACTCTGTGGAAAGTGTTTTGAAAATACAAGGATGTTAGATTTTCTGTATCCATTTTATGGCCCATACTTGCCCCAAGATCTTTCAGCAACTCCCTCAGTAGCAATGTAGATACAAGATAGGCTACTTAGGAATCCTAGATTACTTTTCAAACCCACTTATTCGTTCTCTGACAGAGTTATAAAACTTAAGTCCAGTAGAGTTTTGAATTAGTTATTTCCAGTAAACCCCCAGAGAGCATCTGCATCAACTGACACTTCCTTGGAGAGAAAATCAAGAGGGCTGATGAAATTATTAAAATAGCAATAGCAAATACACTTCAATGAGCCACAAGTTTCTCAAACTTTCTTGGTAAAAGATAAATGACTGGTGACACAACTGCCAGCCCTAAAGAAAGTGAGTGGACAGAGAAACCCTCAGGGGTTTCCCCCCAGGCCCAGCCCTTCCCATCCAAGAAAGCTGCTCTACCCAGAGGACAGGCTTCTTTCAACTGTCTTCGTGCATGCCAGTCAGGCAGGTTCTTCAGGTGGCCAGGCACTGTCATTTCAGCTCTGTACATTATTTCATGAGCGTGGTTAATACCGAGAACAAGGTCAAAGAAGTGAAACCACCTAAGGGGCTAACAAAATGGGCTTCTGAGCCCACACAACTTAGGGAGGAGGCTTCTCAGTAAATATTGTGCAATCCAGCTCTCCTGACAACCCCTTTCTTGTGGAAGCACACTTAGAATTATAAGACACTATTGGTTCATGCCTGTAATCCTAGCTACTCAAGAGGCTGAGATCTGAGGATCGTGGTTCAAAGTCAGCCAGGGCATTAAAGTCCATGAGACTCTTACCTCCAATAAACCACTAGAAACCGGAAGTAGCACTGTGGCTTAAGTGGTAGAGTGCTGGCCTTAAGCTGAAGAGCGCAGGAACAGTGCCCAAGCCCAGAGTTCAAGCCCCACAACCAACGGCCCCCCCACCCAAAAAAAAATTAAGGCACATAGACAACATCAGCTATGCTTGATACTGAGGCTTGAACTTAGGTCTGGACACTGTCCTTTACAGTTTTTTTCCCTCAAGGCTAGTGTTCTACCACTTGAGCCATAGCTCCACTTCCAGCTTTTTGCTGATCAATTGGATAGGAGTCTCAGATAATCCTCAGATCTCAGCCCCCTGAATAGCTAAGATTATGGGTGTGAGCCACAAGCACCCCACTCAGCTTGTTTTGGATTTTTTTGTACTGGTACTGGGAACTGAACTCCAGGCCTCATGCTTTTTATAATCTTCTCCACTTATGGTTGGTGCTCTACCACTTGAGCCATACATACCTCTACTTCCAGCTTTTTGCTGGTTAACTGGAGAAAAAAGACTTATCAGCACAGGCTGGCTTGAACCATGATTTTCAGATCTCAGCCTCCTGAATCTCTACAATTTTAGTAAGTATGAGCTACCAGTGCCCAGCCAGCCTCACTTTTAAGGAGATAGTTTGTAAGTGGTTCTAGTATGCTTCTAGCACATATGGTGACAGATGTCTTCCACTATTTTGTCCCAATAGTTTTGTGGCATCCAGATTCAACTGACAAAGAACTTCTAAGTCCTAACTTAGAGAAGCTTAAGAAAGGAATCTTTGAACCAACTCTTCCTCTGAGCTGCTGGCTAGAGCTTGACACAGCACCATTTGAGTAAGAGGTCATGCATTCTTGGCTCCCCTATCCCTACTTCTTCAAAGCCCACTATACTCCTGGAGAGAAAAGACTCACCATGTCAGCCATGCCAGGCCCTAGACGGTCACACTGCTCCCTGGCATGTTCCACCAAGCCCTGGACAAAAGTAGAGTTGGTCCTCACGGCCGTCTGGATGTCAGTCACCATGTGCACACAGTCCTGGCAGACATCTCCGCTAGACTACGAAGAAGACAGTTAGGATACAGCTGTGCCAAGAAAGACCAAGGCTTGGGCTCCTGAGAAGGCACCTCACCCACAGGGCCACAGCTTTCCAGGCTAGGCTTCTGGTCTCCTGAGAATTCATTATGGTAATATGGGCAGAAGGGATGAAGGATTATAGCCCTATGGTAGAGCTTAGGTTTATGTAGGGCTCTGGACTCCATTCCCAGCATCAAAAAAAAGATGGGAAGAGAGCTTTATGTATCTTAAACATTCTTTAGAAATGGCATGGTGCAATCACCTGGGCAGGGGTGGGAGTGGGGCAAAGTCAAGGGACTGGACAAGTTTCAGTTTTTCTGTTTAGAAGTGCATACTATCTCTCCTCCTCTGTCATTCATTTACACACCCCTGTCATTAACTCACTCACCTTTGGCTGGGGCTGGCTGTGGGCACCATCCTGAGGGTACAGAAGGAGTGGGATATTGGCCATGAAGGGAGCCACCATTCCAGTCAAGTCCACTTCTGGAATCTTATTGGCCTCGAGTTGCTTCTGGTGGTTCAGTTCTGCCAGGTGCTTCTGCAGAGACTGGCAAAAGTTGAGTGCAGAGCACACTGTCCCAGGATTGTCCTGGTGGGGAGAAAAGCCAGCTGAGACTCCCTTCCCCATAGGGAAAAAGGGCAAAAGAAACCACCTGATGCCTCTGAGAAATCCCTGTCCTGAAGTCCCTTAAAAAGTAATGTGCGGGGGCTGGGAAGGTGGCTCAGTGGTAGAGTGCTTGCCTTGCACACATGAGGCCCTGGGTTCGATTCCTCAGCACCACATAAACAAAAAAGAAAAAAGCCGGAAGAAGCGCTGTGGCTCAAGTGGTAGAGCGCTAGCCTTGAGCTGAAGAGCTGAGGGACAGCACCCAGGCCCAGAGTTCAGGCCCCACGACTGCCCCCCCCCCCAAAAAAAAATGTGGGGACCAGGAATGTGGCTTAGTGGTAGAGTGCGTGAAGCATTGGCTTCAATTCTTCAATAAACAGAAAAGGCCAGAAGTGGTGCTGTGGCTCAAGTGGTAGAGTGCTAGCCTTGAGCAAAAGAAGCTCAGAGACAGTGCCCAGGCCCTGAGTTCAAGCCCCAAGACTGGCATTAAAAAAAAAGTACAACTTTGTTGTCTAAATTCATACCGCTCAGTATATGGAAGAGTACAAAAAATGATAACCTTTGTGCCTAGCCACATAGCACAGCAGCCCCCTCTGCTCATCACCAGCTCTTCCTTCAAGGAAGATGAACCTCATTTAGGGGTTAAAAAAAAGGGCCAGGGGCTCTAAGCTACAGCCACATCACCCAACCAGCTAATGCTGTTAACTGGTGTCAAGGACCTTCCACACAGTACACAAGCTGTCACCTCCTATAGTGACTCACCCCTGTACTACCTCATAGACATTTCCACCTTTTCCTAATGCTACTCCACCGAACAACCTGCTCCCCTCTATTTCAACTTGCACAAGTAAGAGACCTGGAAGACATCCCACTCTCCACAAGTAAGGTCAGTGCATTCACCCTTCAGCCATCTCCACCACAACCTTCTGGGCAACCCACTTATGTCCCCACCACAGCTCCCTTGAGAAAAAGCACCACTGGGCATGTATTCCAAGGGCTCCAGCTGCACTTGCAACCCTTAAGCCTGGCACCAGAGGCCTTGTATGATGGGCTTTTCCACACCAAACCTTGGTCCTGTCTCAAGACAGTTTCTCAAACATTCCCCTTCCTCAGGGCCTTTCAAAGTTGGCTCTTCATTCACTGCCAAAACACCCTGGCACATGGCTTGGGTATAGTACATACTTAGTGAGTTACTTAATTCTATGTAGAAATCAAACTCTATCGTGCTCAAAGCATCTGTTAAAGACCTGACATGAGTTATCCACCATGAACACACTTTTCATTTCAATTATCCTGCTTTGGGCTGGAGGCACTGAGAAGAAGAGCCTGTTTGCCCCATCCCCTCTTACTATTTCCTGTTTAATCATATCCAAGATGACAGGGAGGTAAGAATCAACGGTCTCTTTGCATTTAGATGAGAAGTTGGGGTTAGGAAGCCAGTCACACATCTTCTCCAGGTAACCAAGGATCTCCTCCTGTGAGGAAGAACAAGGCAAAGGTCAGAACTGAAGGCAAGGAGCCCTTAATAACTCCAGAACAGAGAAGCTTGAAAACAGCCAACCCTCAGGGAAAAGGATGGTAGAGAGCCAGCACTTCCCTATGGCTCCATCAGCTCAACAAGTAAAAGCAGACTCTCCTCTCACCCATAGTCTGAGGTACAGTGAACTCTGATATTGCCAAACTGATAGCCACACACTAATGTAGATGAAATCTCAACTATATTTAATATTTAGTCCAGAGGCCAGCAAAATAGGACCTTCATGCTCTTTCTTATACAGCCTGGAGAATAGTGTTTACTTTTTTGTCAGTTTTGGGGCCTGAACTCTGGGCCTGGGCGCTGTCCCTCAGCTCTTCAACTCAAGGCTAGTGTTCCACCACCTGAGCCACAGCACCATTTCCATTTTTTTCTGCTTATGTAGTGCTGAGAAGCCAAACCCAGGGCCTCATGCATGCAAGGCAAGCACTCTACCATTGAGCCACCTTCCCTGCCCTAGTGTTTACATTTTTTAAAGTGTTTTTTTTTTAAATGACTGTAGCCAGGCACCCGTTGCTCATGTCTATAATCCTAGCTTCTCAGGAGGCTGAGATCTGAGGATCATGTTTCAAAGCCAGCCCAGGCAGGAAAGTCTGTGAGACTCTTATCTCCAATTAACCACCAGAAAACTGGAAGTGGCACTGTATCTCAAGTGGTAGAGTGCTTGCCTCGAGCTGAAGAGCTCAGGAACAGTGCCCAGGCCGAGTTCAAGCCCCATGAGTGACCCCAAAAAAAAAAAAAAATACTGTGGACAGACACAATGGTGCATACCTATAGTATCAACACTCAGGAGGCTGAATAAGGGGGATTGTGAGTTTGAGGCCAGCCTGGGGCTATGGCAGATGGTAAGTAGACTGCGTGGTCTGAAATACTTCCCACTTGGCCTTTTTCAGAAATCTGCCACCCCTTGGGAATAAGCTAGTCCTATATGGACTCCCAGGGCCACAGTTCTGTGGAACCAAAGCTCAGGCTGCCCCGACCTGTCCCCAGCAGCTCACCTCAGTGGTATTTTCTTTCAGCATATTGTCGGCTGCAGTGATAACCTGAATGCATATGTTGCATGGAAGAGAATTCTAGAAGGAAAAAACATGATGGGTAGAGATCTGGATTTGAATGACCCAATTTACACCCCACGTAGCCACAAACACCAAGCCCTTTCCCTGCACTGATGGAGTGGAAGTCAACCACAGTCACAATCTGGTGCCTGATCAGCAGGACACCAAAGGAAGGACAGGGGTGATGAGCAATAGGTAAGTGCTCAGTGCCTGTGGTTGAAATCAATTCCATATAAGTGCAGCTGTGAGCAAATAGCCATTCCTCAGGGCAGCAGGGCTCCAACGCCAGTCACCGTACTTCTACCCACACCCACTGGCACCTGATCTACCCTCTGCTCCCAACCACACCATGTAAATGGACACACACCCAGGTCAGAAACCACAGGAATTCTAGTTGGTTCTCAAAGTTCTTTGGGAGATGTGCCTAGGCTCCCTTCTTGATCTATGGATAAGGGCTAACATGTCTAGATGAGAATTAGGGGCAGCTGTGAACTGAGTTCACAGATGAACTCAGAGAAAGTCATTCAAAACTTTATGCCAAGTCAAGGTAATCCTATGCACAGGACCATAACATAAGAGACCCAGGCAGCCTGAGACCACCGAATCAGCAAAGCCCTAAGTCCTCACTCAGCACACACTGAACTTGGAAAGAGCATGTAGTATTCAAAATGAGACAGAAAGAAAATTAAAACCTAAATCTCAAAGTTGATTTGGTCAGTGAACTGATTTCTCAGTATTTCAGAATCTATGTCTAAAAGTAGTACTATTTAAGCAACTTTTCTTCTCTTACTAAAGGTGAGCTAGAGGCCACTGACACGCTTAGAATAAAACTCCAACCTGTCAAACACAGCCTGTCCCATTTGACAACCAGCACATCACAGGGAGAACCAGGAAAAGCACCTGCACCAGTGGTTATCTTTCCCAGAGTGGTTTTAGCTAGAAACAAAATTTTAAATAGCTATTAAGCTCTCTCTCAGTCTCAGGATTTGCCTGTTGAGAAGACTAAGGAAGAACAATAAATATCAAGACTTTAAAAAAGCTTAGCATATACTACTTTGTGCAGAGTGACTCAGGCTGGGCTATGTCCATGTGCTCATACTGCAGACCCACTTGGCCTGTATCTAGGTAGGAAGGGGATCCAGAGCAGGGTTGGGGAAGCAGTGTGGGTCATACACAGCAACAAATATGGAGGCCCTCATCCTAACTGCCACCAAGAGACCAATGGCCTAAGGGAATGAGTTCTTTTCTTCTCTGGGCTTCATTTACTTTGTGGTAAATTGAGCACATCCAATAACAGGTCTCGCTTGTCATACAAGGTCACCAAGGGGGGCAGAGAGCAGCGAGCAAGAGACGAGCTCTGTGAACAAGTCTAGGGAAGGCAGGGAGGGGCCTGGAGGGCCCAGGAGGGGTGCTCACCACAGTGGGCTTGCTCCAGACCATCTGCTGGCAGTGCTTCACAGCCCCACAGTCCACCGCAGTCTTCAAGTTCTGGCATAGCACTGCTGAGCCCCCAGAGCATGTTGTCAGGTCTGGGATAGGGCTGGCAAGAGCTATAAAAGGAAAACCAATCTAAGGAGGTGGCCCATTTTCCAACAAAATGGCCTACATTACTTCCCTAGGGTCAAGGACAGCAAAGTCTGTGGTAAACTACAATGCTAAAGCTGACCCCTGCCAAGAAGTTTTGCCCTTTATCAGTAATTTTGTTCTGATTTCTGATTTCACATTTTTAGTCCCAAGGATAACCTTCTTTTCCAAAGGGGCTCACAGGACAGTATAAATTTCCTGCAGCAGGAGAGACTGAAGCCAGACAATGGAACTTTCTGCCAGTGAACAGTAACTCAGATACCTTTTATTTTTGGTGGGGATTATCACAAAGATGAATGTGCTGAAGTACTTTATATACATTATGAAAATAGGACAACAAAACCTGTTAAAATTGTTTTAAGAAGAGGGGAGAGTCTAAAAGAGTAATGGAGATTGATGGGATACAACTGTATTCATGTATGGAAATGTCACAATGAAATCCCCTTGTACAATTAGAGTATACTAATGGGAGAAAAAAAACCTTAACAAAAAAAGCACAAACTAGGAAGGGGTTAGAGTACCTGCCTTGCCTAGCATGAACACAGCACCAAGAGGGAAAATAGCAAATCTACTCCCACAAGAACGCTAAGAAACATAGAAATTTGAGTGAAATATAGTAAACATAATATTACAGCTGTCAAACATAGAGATATACATCAAATTGGAAAAAATCCAAGAATAATGATTATACAAGGAGCTGTAAAAGGTAAGAAAATAAAACAGTTAAGTTTAAAGTCTATATATATATATATATATATATATATATATTTTTGGGTCCAGTCGTGGGGCCTGAACTCTGGGCCTGGGCGCTGTCCCTCAGCTCTTCAGCTCAAGGCTAGCGCTCTGCCACTTGAGCCACAGCGCCACTTCCCGGTTTTTTCTTTTTGCTTATGTGGTGCTAAGGAATCGAACCCAGGGCCTCAGGCATGCAAGGCAAGCGCTCTACCACTGAGCCACCTTCCCAACCCTGATAATGACAATTTGCCTTGTGAAGGTTAAAATGTATTTGTGACTTTAACTAGGTATCACTATTCCACAATACTGTGATATATGGGAAATTTATGTAATCAACTAATCTCAATTTTTTAAAAAAATAGTGAGAGAAGGGATGGGTTAGGAGCAATGGGTGACAATGTTATCAGACATCTTGTATTCATATACTGTTTGTAGAATGGGAACTTCTTTTTTTTTTGGTCGGTCGTGGGGCTTGAACTCTGGGCCTGGGCGCTGTCCCTCAGCTCTTCAGCTCAAGGCGAGCGCTCTACCACTTGAGCTACAGCGCCACTTCCGGTTCTCTGGTGGTTTATTGGAGATAGGAGTCTCACAGTCTTTCCTGCCCGAGCTGGCTTTGAACCGCGATCCTCAGATCTCAGCCTCCTGAGTAGCTAGGATTACAGGCGTGAGCCACCAGCGCCAGGCTTAGAATGGGAACTTCTTTGTACAACTACTTAAGGATAATAACAAAAAAAATGTTTTTTTTTTAAAAAGCCAGAAGTAGAGGTGTGGGCTTAAATAGTAGAGTGCTAGCCTTGATCAAAAAAGCTAAGCAAGGGGCTGGTAATGTGGCTTAATAGTAGAATGCTTGCCTAGCATACATGAAGAGCTGGGTTCAATTCCTCAGTACCACATAAACAGAAAAGGCCAGAAGTGGCATTGTGACTCAAGTGGTAGAGTACTAGCCTTGAGCAAAAGAACCTCAGGTACAATGCCCAGCCCCTGAGTTCAATCCTCAGACTGGCAAAAAAAAAAAAAAAAAGGAAAGAAAAGAAAAGAAAGAGAAAGAGAAAAAGAAGGAAGGAAGGAAGGAAGGAAGGAAGGAAGGAAGGAAAAGTCTAGCTGGATGCTGGTGGCTCTGCCTATAATCCTAGCTACTCAGAAAGCTGAGATCTGAGGATCACAGTTCTAGGCAATAGCTTGGGCAGGAAGGTCTATGAGACTTTAATCTCAAATTAACCATAAAAAACTGGAAGTAGGCTGGGAAGTTGGCTCAGTGGTAGAGTGCTTGCCTTGCATGCATGAGGCCCTGGGTTCAATTCCTCAGCACCACATAAGCAAAAAGAAAAAAGCCGGAAGTGGCGCTGTGGCTCAAGTGGAAGAGCGCTAGCCTTGAGCTGAAGAGCTGAGGGACAGCGCCCAGGCCCAGAGTTCAGGCCCACGACTGGACCCAAAAAAAAAAAACTGGAAGTGGAGCTGTGGCCAAAAGAAATCAAGTACAGGAGGAAAGGAAGAAAGAAAAAGGAAAAAGAGAAAGTTGAAGCAAGACCCCTGTGGCAGCAAGGAAGGGCTGAAAGAAAAAAAGACGTCAACAGGACAAGACAGATGGGAAATGAAACTAGCAGTGTTCAACCTAAAATCATTCCGTCTAAAAGAGAATACAGAACAGGAAGACCTCACAGCTGAAGGATAGGATGAGAGCACAACTGAGCAATCTGCTTGCTACAGGACAACAAAGGACAAAGGAAGGAACAAACATGTACAGGCTCTTCAGAGGTCAGAAAGGCAGGCCTCCATTCCAAAAAGTTCTTAAGGGGATTGGAGATGATTAGCTAGGAAAATGTCCTAATATGGTTGGCCTTCAAATAAGCAAGGGACACCTCGCTCCTACCACAGAGGTGTTTTAGGGTAGCTCTAGACCTAAGAGACCTGAGCAGCAAGTCAGGTCAAGCAATGTGTTTAACACCACAGGGGACTACAAAGGCTAGATGAGGACTGCTCAACAATAGGACAACCAAGAACACAAGAGCCTCTACCTGTGGGGTTCCTGGAAGAGGAACCCTGTGAGTACAGAGCTGGACAGAAAGATCTCTCAAGGACTATACATCTTCACTCACAATAACAAGGCAGATGCTGATGATCCTATTTATAGAAACCCAATATAAAAACTACCCCAAATTTTCTGTTGAGTTCTCAAAATGTTCCCCGTCAAGCTTTTTAACCTCTATTCTCATCCTCATAACCCATCCCTTGACCCCACATACCAACTTCTCTCCCTGAGGCACTATGCTGACCTCTTAAGAATTTGGGGGGGGGGGGGTCAGTCATGGAGCTTGAACTCTGGGCCTGGGCACTGTTCCTCAGCTCTTCAGCTCAAGGCTAGCACCATACCACTTGAGCCACAGTGCCACTTCCAGTTTTCTGGTGGTTAACTGGAAATAAGAGTCTCACAGACTTTCCTGCTCAGGCTGGCTTTGAACTGTGATCCTCAGCTATCAGTCTCCTGAGTAGCTAGGATTACAGGCCTGAGCCACTGGTATGTGGCTCTCTTAAGAAATTTCTTAAGAGTGTTTGCCTTGGCCACTGGAGATTTCTGATTGGATGTGTCAGTACAGACATCAATAGCACTGGGGCCCAAGTCAAGCCCTACACTTCTCAGTTCAAGGACCTGGCACACACACAAGCCTGAGATATACTTTTTTTTTTTTTTTAACTTGTGTATAGGTACTGGGGCTTGAACTCAGCTCTGTAAGAGTCTCCCAGATCTGGCTACCTGGGCTGACTTCAAATTGCCATCCCCATATCTTAGCCTCCTAAGTAGCTAGGATTACAGGAGTAAGCCACTAGCACTTGATGGAGACATGCCTTTTTTTTAAAGGCACACATTTGAAATGTCTTCCTTGTGAAAAGGCAAATTAGATGTGACACAGGAACAGAGCACACAACCTGCCTCTGCCACTCCCTGTAAAATGAAGAGGGAACCACTTTTATCAGTGGACTGAAGATGATTTAATTACACATAAACACTTCAACTGGCACATACACACATACCTCCCCACCCTTCACCCTCTGCCCTCACCACCATCTCTCTGGGATAGTAATTTGCCCTTACCCTACCAAGCCTGAGCTCATTCAGATGCCAGTTCCTCCACTTCCAGTCATGTGCCCTGGAAACCTCAGTCTTCAAGGCTTATTACTAGTATTTGCTCCAAAGGCCTGACACAGAATGTTTGAGTGGCTGGAAATGTGGCTTAGTGGTAGAGTGCTTGCCTAGCATGCATGAAGCCCTGGGTTCCATTCCTTAGTACCACATAAACAGAAAAGCTAGAAGTGGTGCTATGGCTCAAGTAGTAGAGTGCTAGCGAGCCTTGAACACAAAGAGACTCAGAGACAGTGCCCAGGCCTTGAGTTCAAGTCCTAGGACTGGCAAAAAAAAAAAAAATTAATGTTTGAAAAGCACATGGTATGGTGCTGCACCAAAACAGTACACTAAGTGCCACTGTTCTTTGCAGTTTTAACAGCAGGGGACCTCCTGGTAACCCACATCCCTTCCCAGAACAGAGAGCTCACAACAACCACTAGGTCAGGGCCTGGCTCTCTGCACATTCAACATTTATTGGGTAATTATTATGTGGTAGCTCAAAGACCTAGACAGTTGCACCCCAGCAACCTCAGAGGTCATTAGCATTAGCTACTGACTCCAAGCCACATTGCTAAGAGCCAGAACAGTGATCTTGGGTCGTCAAACGTTAAACAAGAAGTTTGGCATTGGTGAGAGACGGGTACCCGGCAAGGCACAAATACTATAATGCCTTCAGTGACTCATGAAAAAGGTCATTAGTGATACACCAATGGTTACCTCCAGGGAACACCAATCCAAGTTATCACTGTACAAAGTATATCCGGAACCCATTAAAGTTGAATGTGGTGGTGCATACTATCGTGTTAGTACTCTGATTCATAGCACAGGGCAGAAAGATCAAGAACAGCCTGGACCAGGGTATTAAAACTATCTCAAAGCCTAATGCACACAGGTGGCTCACACCTAAAATCCTAGCTACTAAAAAGGCTGAGACCTGAGAATCCTGGTTGAAGACAGCAGAGGCAGAAAAGTCCCTCAGAGTCTTATCTCCAATTAATCAGGGGGAAAAAAAAAAGCTGGAAATAGGGGTAGCTTGAGTGGTAGCCAAGAAGAATGTAAAGTCTTGAGTTTTAGTTGCCCCATACAGAAAAACAAATAAACAAAAACTCT